AGCAACAGTTACTGGGAGACTGAGCAACAGTTACTGGGAGACTGAGCAACAGTTACTGGGAGACTGAGCAACAGTTACTGGGAGACTGAGCAACAGTTACTGCTTGATTTCCTCCTTCAATACTGGCAGTAATACAGCTGATCGTCACTAGGAGGCGAGGAACCGAGGAACTGAGATAGCGTGATGTGTAAACGGTCGTCAGAAATGAGCTCGGCCTGGTTAACTGATCCGAGCTCGGACCGGTGTGACAGATCAACTGGTTAGAATCTATGCGTACTGCAGATGTTAATGAAGCTTAGGTGGCCGTGTAAATGCCTGATGAAAAAGATTCCAAACGTAACAAAACTGCTCGCCAAACTCAACCAGATATATCTAACGAATGAATTCCTGCTTCTTTCCGACTCGAACAATGTGGCAAATAACTTGTATCCTCAGCAAAGCATATAGTGCAAAGAATCCCACACAGAGAACAGCCTCGTTCACAAGTGTAAAGAAAAAATACAAATAAAAGTCTGTCTCTCACTGGAGTGTCATTTCTCCTGTTGAACGATAAGCTATAAATGAAAACCTTTAGCTTGGACAATAAAGTCCGCCCACTTTATAAATTCCTGAATGTAAAAATAAATCCATTAATGAGGCCTGTCATTCAGAAGGCACGTGTGTAAGCAGCATATTCCCACTTTATTTTTTTTTATATTAACAAAAAGTTATTTTCTTATATTCAATGCTCTCATATTTCCTTTATTCTCCTGTCTGGACACAAATACAAGTCTCTACTACGGTGTTTTTTTTTTTTAGTGGATCCAAAAACTTTGTCCCGTATGATGAACTGTATCAGGTCAAACACCTTTATTTTTATTGTTCAGTCTGTTTATAATATCCAGTTATGAGTCGTTAGCGGGCTGCTTCTGAGCTGGTTTTACTTCCCCATATGTAAAAAGGGGTAAAATGTATTTACTTAGGCGCATTGCAGCTCATAGAATCTGAATCACATACCTGTTGATGCGGAAACTTTACTTTTTCTGTCTTCACAGTAGAATTTAAATCCCAGAGTTCGCAGCTACCGCTAAGGTGTGGGTGTGAGTCGCCATTATGGGGCCAAAATGGTAGCTTTAATATTTGCAAATGTGTGTGGAGAGTTGTGTGTCTGTATCTCGATTTGTGTGTGTGCAGTGGGATTTGAAAATGTGTAAATAAATCTGTAAATGTGTGAGGAGATTTGTGTGTCTGTACAACAATCTGCAAATGTGTAAAACTACTTGTGTGTAATCCGTTTTGCAAATGTGTAAAAAATCCACAAATCTGTATTCAGATCTGCAAATGTGTAGATCAATCTGTAAGCACACACAGAGACACTTGTGTCTGAAGTATTTTTCGCTTCAAGACCCAGAAATACAGACAAATCATTGGTTACAAGTCAAGCGGTTTTTCAGTTGGCTCTCTTTACACACGTGATTTTTGCTACTCTTCTGCCGCGTGAGATGCACAAATGCGTAGAAGGATTTGTATGTGTATTTTCGCGATTTGTAACCCCTTGCGCAGGCTCGCAGGCTCACATGCTGCCCTGACCGCAGGCTCACAGGCTCACAGACAGCCTCTACCTTTTTTTTTTTCCTCCGCTGCGGGAGTTGACGTGACAAGGATGATATATTGATACCATTCAGTAAGGAAAAAATTTAATCTATTATTAAACAAAAGATTACGGAAAGATGGCAGAAGCTGTGGGAAGAGCATAGAACTGGAAGGTGGCTTTATAGTATTCAAAGGAAAATTGGTGAAATGAGGAGAACGGAAAGGAATAAGAAAGAGGTTATATCTAGATTAAGTTTCGGAAACATGGGGTTAAATGGAAACTTATTTAGAATGGGAACAGGAGGTTGTGGTTTTTGTTATCAAGGGGAGACGGTGGAGCATGTTTTGTTGTTTTGTTATAAATATTCTATGGAGAGAAGGGTTACAAGAAAATAAATTACAGTTAAATATACAAGATATTTTGGGGGAAAAAAATCTACTTATGATTATTTTTGTAATTTGATAAACAATCTTGAAAAAACGAAATTGGTAGAAAGGATATAAGTTTATTTATGTAAATATTGTTAATATTTATTTTTATTTTTCAGTGGGAAAATACATAGCATCCCGATCCACACTCCACTGAAGTAGATGGTGGTAATGCACATCATAAAGTTGCTTGCCAGCCGCCATAAAACAGAAGCAGAAGAAACAGTTTTACTAATGCAAACTATAGAAAAAATTAAAGAAATATACTTACAGAAAGCTGACGGGATTCCATTGCTCTCAACTTAGCAGGTACAACCCCTAGGACCCCAGTAACGTCACGTACTGTACAATACCGCCAACTGGTGGTATGTGGCTGTATGTGAAGCAAGTTGTGCTGAACTGCCGCAGCAGAGAGAGGCTGTCTGTGAGCCTGCGAGCCTGCGGTCAGGGCAGCATGTGAGCCTGCGAGCCTGCGCAAGGGGTTACAAATCGCGAAAATACACATACAAATCCTTCTACGCATTTGTGCATCTCACGCGGCAGAAGAGTAGCAAAAATCACGTGTGTAAAGAGAGCCAACCGAAAAACCGCTTGACTTGTAACCAATGATTTGTCTGTATTTCTGGGTCTTGAAGCGAAAATACTTCAGACACAAGTGTCTCTGTGTGTGCTTACAGATTGATCTACACATTTGCAAGTCTCAGTACACATTTGCAGATCTGAATACAGATTTGTGGATTTTTTACACATTTGCAAATCTCAGTACACATTTGCAGATCTGAATACAGATTTGTGGATTTTTTACACATTTGCAAAACGGATTACACACAAGTAGTTTTACACATTTGCAAAACGGATTACACACAAGTAGTTTTACACATTTGCAGATTGTTGTACAGACACACAAATCTCCTCACACATTTACAGATTTATTTACACATTTTCAAATCCCACTGCACACACACAAATCGAGATACAGACACACAACTCTCCACACACATTTGCAAATATTAAAGCCACCATTTTGGCCCCATACGCCATGACTGCTTTATGTTTTATCTTGTAGAAAAATGCAGATAATCTTAAACGAAGAACTAGATTAATTTGTGACGGGGTCCACAGCACAGCTGTTTGGAGAGATTAGTTGGCTGCGTGGTTGCCCGATCAAAATGCCGCAAATGTAAACAAACGGGTCAGAATAAAGGTTATAATTTATCCTGGCCTGATATCTATCCAACATACGTCTGTGGATAATGTGAAATATTATGAGTAATTTAAGTTTGGGGATCAAATAAACGCATCGTGAGGATCTGAAAGCGTCAGAATCTGCAGAGTGTCACAGATTAACTTGTGATCCAGCGGGATCTGGAGGAATATGGGCTGTAAAACGCTCCATCTCCTGGGATGTTTGGATGTTATTATCTTATCCTCAGTTAGGGTTGTAGCAGGCTACTTTACATTTTTAACTGTTATTGTTGATCATTTTTCTTACCGCAATTAGGAACCTGTCATGATGTGTGACCATGTTCACGCAGTCAGCTGTCATCTTATTCCCTTCTGTTGTTTTGAGGACGCCACATTATTTGATTTGCATGCAGAACAACTTTAAATCATTCACGTTTTTCAAGTTACGGGCAATAGAGTATTGCTTTGTCTACTTTTTACTATTGGTCTAAATTGTTTGCTTTCACTGGTACAATTAGAATGACAAAAAGCAACTCAGCAAAAAACGTTGATTACGATGAAATGTTTGTCATTTCAGAGTTACGAGATAATATTATCTTGCCCATCTGTGGAAAAATGTTAAAATAAAAGGAGGGCATAAGAGTTCATGTGGGATCGAACCCGCGGCCGACGTTGATTTAATTTGCAAAGCGTCTATATATCTGCAGAGCTAGTGAGACGAACACTAAAAGTGACCCCATCTGCGATAATGAACCTGTTGCGTGTGTCTGCTTTGCCTGTTTAAGAGCTGGTCTAGATCAACTCTAGATCAACTGGTGACAGTTAATGTTTCAGAGTCCGCTGTTCGCTTAAAACATGTTTGAATTCCAGAATATCAGATATTATTACTATTTTTTCCTTCTTTACTCTTAGAACAGAATGGGGCCTCCCCGTTAAGAGATAGTTAGACAGTAAGTTATGCTCTGCTATTAAAAGGAAAAATAATAACCAGATCATTTTTTTCGATCAGATATCTACCGTAAAATCTCCCTGTTTTATTTATTCATTGTTTGGCAGCAGTTAGCCTGGAGGCTCTGCTGCTTCTTTTAATGCTTTAGTGCAGCAGGTTCTGCATTTGTTCGCCCCGATGCCCAAAATATCACATATATTCACACAATATATAAACTGAATTCAGAGATTTCACTCTTCCCCGCAGCAGTTATGTTATTTTGCTTTGTTCCTGCAACACATCTTAAACTTTAAAGACATTTATAACTCCTCTGGGAACGAGTTGGGCTGTAAGTTTCCCTCCATATAAACAGTCGGCGCTTTTGAGAAAAAAAAAAAAAAAAGAGGAAATTTTTATTTTCGCTTGTTTTAATTTACAAGACATACAGGACGACAAAAAAATGGGAAAAAAAATTACACCGATAGTTGTTCCCATTGACCTTTTATTGCACTGGCTGTTTTTACTTCTCATACAGCTTTCTGTGGTTTTTCTACTCGGTTCTTTCTCTCATCGCTGAGGCTCTGAAACAAACAGATAAACAACAGCAGGACAAGTTCCTCAAATCTCTGTGTGCGGGTTTGGAGAAAACCCTAAAACATGCTATATGCTTTCTTAATGCAATTAAATACCTTTGTGATGGTGACTTCTTAAAATCTCAACGTATTTCGCATCGATCGGATAACAAAATAATTTGTAGTTCTTGGAGTCTACACGCAGTTTACTTCCTGTTTGAGGCGAGGGGTCCTGAAAAGCCCCGCCCACAGACACATCTGCAAAAATCAGCGGTTTTCCAGTTGACGTCACCAGTTGATCTCCTCCCCAGTTGATCTGTCATACCGGTCACAGCATGGATCGGTGTTTCAAGGGCAGAGTAAATGAGGTATTAGAAAGGTTTAAAAGCTATAATGCTGCATATAAAGGGAAGCAGGGCAGAGATCATAACATCTAAATCAACACTGGTTGCATTAATGTAAAAATGGATTGATGAAAAATTAAACTCATTTGAACTTTAAGACAACGTTAATATTCAACCCTGGCTGCTGAAGACGGGCTAACGTTAGCCCCGGATCCTGCAGACGGGCTAACTTTAGCCCCGGATCCTGCAGACGGGCTAACGTTAGCCCCGGATCCTGCAGACGGGCTAACTTTAGCCCCGGATCCTGCAGACGGGCTAACTTTAGCCCCGGATCCTGCAGACGGGCTAACTTTAGCCCCGGATCCTGCAGACGGGCTAACTTTAGCCCCGGATCCTGCAGACGGGCTAACGTTAGCCCCGGATCCTGCAGACGGGCTAACTTTAGCCCCGGATCCTGCAGACGGGCTAACTTTAGCCCCGGATCCTGCAGACGGGCTAACTTTAGCCCCGGATCCTGCAGACGGGCTAACTTTAGCCCCGGATGCTGCAGACGGGCTAACTTTAGCCCCGGATGCTGCAGACGGGCTAACTTTAGCCCCGGATCCTGCAGACGGGCTAACTTTAGCCCCGGATCCTGCAGACGGGCTAACTTTAGCCCCGGATGCTGCAGACGGGCTAACATTAGCCCTGGATGCTGCAGACGGGCTAGCATTAGCCCTGGATGCTGCAGACGGGCTAGCGTTAGCCCTCGATGCTGCAGACGGGCTAACGTTAGCCCTGGATGCTGCAGACGGGCTAGCGTTAGCCCTGGATGCTGCAGACGGGCTAGCGTTAGCCCTGGATGCTGCAGACGGGCTAACGTTAGCCCTGGATGCTGCAGACGGGCTAGCGTTAGCCCTGGATGCTGCAGACGGGCTAGCGTTAGCCCCGGATGCTGCAGACGGGATAGCGTTAGCCCCGGATCCTGCAGACGGGCTAACGTTAGCCCTGGATGCTGCAGACGGGATAACTTTAGCCCTGGATGCTGCAGACGGGCTAGCGTTAGCCCTGGATGCTGCAGACGGGATAACTTTAGCCCTGGATGCTGCAGACGGGCTAGCGTTAGCCCTGGATGCTGCAGACGGGCTAGCGTTAGCCCTGGATGCTGCAGACGGGCTAGCATTAGCCCTGGATGCTGCAGACGGGATAGCGTTAGCCCCGGATCCTGCAGACGGGCTAACGTTAGCCCTGGATGCTGCAGACGGGATAACTTTAGCCCTGGATGCTGTAGACGGGCTAGCGTTAGCCCTGGATGCTGCAGACGGGCTAACTTTAGCCCCGGATGCTGCAGATGGGATAGCGTTAGCCCCGGATCCTGCAGACGGGCTAACTTTAGCCCCGGATCCTGCAGACGGGATAATTTTAGCCCCGGATGCTGCAGACGGGCTAGCGTTAGCCCTGGATGCTGCAGACGGGGCTATTATCCGCTTCAGGTAATGAAGACATGGCTAACCGCTAACACACATTGGTTTGGCGTCTCCACTGACCAAGTACAGGTGCTGGTCATAAAATTAGAATATCATGAAAAAGTAGATTGATTTCAGTAATTCCATTTAAAAAGTGAAACTTGTATATTATATTCATACATTACATACAAACTCATATATTTCAGATGTTTATTTTGTTTAATTTTGATGATTACAAATGACAACAAATGAAAATCTCAAATTCATCATATCAGAAAATTAGAATATTGTGAAAAGGTTCAAAATTGATGGCCCCTGGTGCCACACTCTAATCAGCTAATTAACTCAAACCACCTGCAAAAGCCTTTAAATGGTCTTTCAGTCTAGTTCTATAGGCTACACAATCATGGGGAAGACTGCTGACTTGACAGTTGTCCAAAAGACGACCATCGACACCTTGCACAAGGAGGGCAAGACACAAAAGGTCATCGCTAAAGAGGCTGGCTGTTCACAGAGCTCAGTGTCCAAGCACATTAATAGAGAGGCGAAGGGAAGGAAAAGATGTGGTCGAAAAAAGTGTACAAGCAAGAGAGATAACCGCACCCTGGAGAGGATTGTGAAACAAAACCCCTTCAAAAATGTGGGGGAGATTCACAAAGAGTGGACTGCAGCTGGAGTGAGTGCTTCAAGAACCACCACACACAGACGTATGAAAGACATGGGGTTCTGCTGTCGCATTCCTTGTGTCAAGCCACTCTTGAACCACAGACAGCGTCAGAAGCGTCTTGCCTGGGCTAAAGAGAAACAGGACTGGACTGCTGGTGAGTGGTCCAAAGTCATGTTCTCTGATGAAAGTAAATTTTGCATTTCCTTTGGAAATCAAGGTCCCAGAGTCTGGGGGAAAAGAAGAGAGGCACTTCATCCACGTTGCTTGAAGTCCAGTGTAAAGTTTCCACAGTCAGTGATGGTTTGGGGTGCCATGTCATCTGCTGGTGTTGGTCCATTGTGTTTTCTGAGGTCCAGGGTCAACGCAGCCACATACCAGGAAGTTTTAGAGCACTTCATGCTTCCTGCAGCTGACCAACTTTTTGGAGATGCAGATTTCATTTTCCAACAGGACTTGGCACCTGCACACAGTGCCAAAGCTACCAGTACCTGGTTGAAGGACCATGGTATCCCTGTTCTTAATTGGCCAGCAAACTCTCCTGACCTTAACCCCATAGAAAATCTATGGGGTATTGTGAAGAAGAAGGTGCAATACACCAGACCCAACAATTCAGAAGAGCTAAAAGCCACTATTAGAGCAACCTGGGCTATCATAACACCTGAGCAGTGCCACAGACTGATCGACTCCATGCCACGCCGCATTGCTGCAGTAATACAGGCCAAAGGAGGCCCAACTAAATACTGAGTGCTGTACATGCTCATACTTTTCATGTTCATACTTTTCAGTTGGCCAACATTTCTATAAATCCTTTGTTTTTATTGGTCTTCAGTAATATTCTAATTTTCTGATATGATGAATTTGAGATTTTCATTTGTTGTCATTTGTAATCATCAAAATTAAACAAAATAAACATCTGAAATATATGAGTTTGTATGTAATGTATGAATATAATATACAAGTTTCACTTTTTAAATGGAATTACTGAAATCAATCTATTTTTTCATGATATTCTAATTTTATGACCAGCACCTGTATATTACTCTTGTATAATGTGAGGTTCGTGGTTTGTTCAGAAAAACCTTTTCTCTGCAACAGTATCTGGGCTTCGGTTTGGATCTACACCAGAGAAGATGATGGAAGAGAGCGGGATTGAAACAACCCCTCCTGTGAGCCCAGCTCCCGTAACGGTCGCGGCTGCAGCCAGAAGTCCACCAACCACTACTGGTAAGGCTGGAAGGTTCCTCTCTCAGTTAACCAAACCTCAGATCCAGGCATTGCTCTAAGAGGGGACCAATCATCATCTCTGTTTGATCCCAGATTCTAAAATAAAAAATAAAAAATCTTAGGCCAATGATCCAAACCCTGGTTGGTGTATCTGCACTTCATAGAGAAGGTTTTTACCTTTCTTAGATAACCAGCTAACATTTGGATGCCTCACTCTATAACCATATAAATGTCAATTTAAGGAATAAAGCAGTTTGAAAGACCTCTTAGTTTTGGTTAATTTTGGCTCCCCCAGTGGACAAAAGCTGCATTGCTTTGCCTGAGGGACCCCACCTGTTGTTGGGTCCCTTTATTGGGACCCCACCTGTTGTTGGGTCCCTTTATTGGGACCCCACCTGTCGTTGGGACCCATTATTGGGACCCCACCTGTCGTTGGGTCCCTTTATTGGGACCCCACCTTTTGTTGGGTCCCTTTATTGGGACACGACCTGTCGTTGGGACCTCTTGTTGGGACCCGACCTGTCGTTGGGACCCCTTTATTGGGACCTTACCTGTCGTTGGGACCCCTTTATTGGGACCTTACCTGTCGTTGGGACCCATTATTGGGACCCCACCTGTTGTTGGGTCCCTTTATTGGGACCCCACCTGTTGTTGGGTCCCTTTATTGGGACCCCACCTGTCGTTGGGTCCCTTTATTGGGACCCCATCTGTCGTTGGGACCCATTAGTGGGGCCCAACCTGTCGTTGGTACCCGACCTGTCGTCGGAACCCATTATTGGGATCCCACCTTTCGTTGGGACCCATTATTGGGGCCCAACATGTCGTTGGGACCTGACCTGTCGTTTGGACCCCTTTCTTGGGACCCCACCTGTTGTTGGGACCCCGACCTGTCGTCGGGACTCGACCTGTCGTTGGGACCCCACCTGTTGTTGGGACCCCACCTGTCGTTTGGACCCCACCTGTCGTTTGGACCCCACCTATCGTTTGGACCCATCGTTGGGACCCGACCTGTTGTTGGGACCCGACCTGTCGTTGGGACCCGACCTGTCGTTGGGACTCGACCTGTCGTTGGGACCCCACCTGTCGTTGGGACCCCACCTATCGTTTGGACCCCACCTATCGTTTGGACCCATCGTTGGGACCCGACCTGTTGTTGGGACTGGACCTCTTGTTGGGACCCGACCTGTCGTGGGAACCCATTATTGGGACCCCACCTGTTGTTGGGTCCCTTTATTCGGACCCCACCTGTCGTTGGGACCCATTATTGGGGCCCAACCTGTCGTTGGTACCCGACCTGTCGTGGGAACCCATTATTGGGACCCAACATGTCGTTGGGACCTGACCTGTCGTTTGGACCCCTTTCTTGGGAGCCCACCTGTTGTTGGGTCCCTTTATCGGGACCCCACCTGTTGTTGGGACCCCACCTGTCGTTGGGTCCCTTTATCAGGACCCCACCTGTTGTTGGGACCCCACCTATCGTTTGGACCCCACCTATCGTTTGGACCCATCATTGGGACCTGACCTGTTGTTTGGACCCCTTTATTGGGACCCCACCTGTTGTTGGGTCCCTTTATTGGGACCCCACCTGTTGTTGGGTCCCTTTATTGGGACCTCACCTGTTGTTGGGTCCCTTTATCGGGACCCCGCCTGTTGTTGGGACCCCACCTGTCGTTGGGTCCCTTTATTGGGACCACACCTGTCGTTGGGACCCATTATTGGGACCCGACCTGTCGTTGGGACCCGACCTGTCGTTGGGACTCGACCTGTCGGTGGGACCCCACCTGTCGTTGGGACCCCACCTATCGTTTGGACCCCACCTATCGTTTGGACCCATCATTGGGACCTGACCTGTTGTTTGGACCCCTTTATTGGGACCCCACCTGTTGTTGGGTCCCTTTATCGGGACCCCACCTGTCGTTGGGTCCCTTTATTGGGACCCCATCTGTCGTTGGGACCCATTATTGGGACCCGACCTGTCGTTGGGACCCGACCTGTCGTTGGGACTCGACCTGTCGTTGGGACCCCACCTGTCGTTTGGACCCCACCTATCGTTTGGACCCATCGTTGGGACCCGACCTGTTGTTGGGACCCGACCTGTCGTTGGGACCCGACCTGTTGTTGGGACCCGACCTGTCGTTGGGACCCGACCTGTCGTTGGGACTCGACCTGTCGTTGGGACCCCACCTATCGTTTGGACCCATCGTTGGGACTCGACCTGTCGTTTGGACCCCACCTATCGTTTGGACCCATCGTTTGGACCCGACCTGTTGTTGGGACCCGACCTGTTGTTGGGACCCGACCTGTTGTTGGGACCCGACCTGTCGTTGGGACTCGACCTGTCGTTGGGACTCGACCTGTCGTTGGGACCCCACCTGTCGTTGGGACCCCACCTATCGTTTGGACCCATCGTTGGGACCCGACCTGTTGTTGGGACCCGACCTGTTGTTGGGACTCGACCTGTCGTTGGGACTCGACCTGTCGTTGGGACCCGACCTGTCGTTGGGACCCCACCTGTCGTTGGGACCCCACGTGTCGTTTGGACCCATCGTTGGGACCCGACCTGTTGTTGGGACTGGACCTCTTGTTGGGACCCGACCTGTCGTGGGAACCCATTATTGGGACCCCACCTGTCGTTTGGACCCATTATTGGGACCCGACATGTCGTTGGGGCCCGACCTATCGTTTGCACCTGACCTAACGTTTGGACATGTTCATATCTGATAGATTCACTGCTTTTAATCTTTTTCTTCCAGGTGTGTCCAGCCACCTTCCTCTCACTGGGACCAGTTCTGTCTCACCAGCCTCCGTTTCTATCCCTCCTCCATATGTTCATCCTCTTCCTCCCTTCAGTAGCTCTTTAGCTGCTCCCAGTCCCTCCCAGTTGACTGCCTCTTCTAAAACATTCCCCACTGGTTCCAGTTTCCCATCGGTTGATTCCCCATCTTTGCCTCATCTGGCCTCCTCTGTTGGTCCACCTTTAGCAGCTGCTATGACCGCCACCTCTGGACAGCCACCAATGACAGGCTTCTCCAGGAGTGCAGGACATGACATCACACGTGGTCACGCTGGACGGACGCCTCAGACGCCTCTGATGCCTACGTTCTCTAACGCCTCTCCGGTGCCAGGTTGGAGCCGCACATCGTTCTCTGGTTCAATGGCTGATTTTTATAGATCTAATTAAACAAAATGAGATGAATCTATAACTTGATTAATTAATATTTACATTGAGTCTGCATTTTATTTTCATTAGGCTGTTATAAACCATTAGTCGATTAATATATCAATGTTCAGTTTATTGGTGGAGTAATCAAAGAATAAAACTATCATTTTTTGTTGTAGCAACCTAAACTAGTAGAAATATAATTTTTTTATAATATTAGTATTGAATAAGATTTCATTGCTAAAAATGCACTAAGGTTAGAAATTCACCTTCAATCTGAAAAAAAAATCGTATTTTCTTACGTGCAAAATCAGATGAGAAAGAAAATATTTCAAACAAAAAGAAATGATTGAGGCAAATAAATAAACGCTACATTTCACGGAAATTACATCAGACTTTCAGTCTGATGCTTGAAAAAACTAGAATTTTTAAAATGCTTAAATTCTATTCAGTTTATTTCTATAGCACCAATTAACATCATGTCACCCCAGGGCTCTTTACAGAGGAAGAAGGAAACATCTAACATCAGCATAAAAAAAAAAATACATATATATATATTAGGGGTGGAACGATCACAAAATCCACGGTTCGGTTCGATTCACGGTTTCTGGTCACGGTTTTCAGTTCGGTTCGATACATGTTGATCGTTACGCCGAAATCCCATAAAAATGTATGGAATTAATGAAAAAATCCCCCAAAAAATAATGGATTTTAATTATTTTTAATGATCCGCGGAAACCCTGGATCATTTCCGCATGTTTTGCTGCTTTGAATTTAATCATCTGGCGCATGCCCTCTACCATCTCCAAGGAACTCAGAGCGGAGCGGACGAAGCCACAGTGAAGGCTGCAGGCTTTGCTTTGAGCAGCCGGTCTGGAGCGCAGCGGGGCGGAGCGCTGACGGAGTATGAGGGATTTCGGGGTTAGCACGACATGTTGGTCATGTTGCTGTTAGCATAAACAAAACGTGTTGCGCAATGCTTGCACACTGTTGCACTTTTATCCCCAGCTTTCTTTCCGCCGTCATCGTAGGTCACTCTAAATGCAAAGTGGTCCCATACAGCAGACCTATAAAGTGCTGCTGGCGTGTCTTCCAACTCCTGTTCTTTCCCACTCGCCATACCCACACAATTCTCCACAACAACTGATTTTTTTCTGCTACACCCGGCTACGCTGCTTCGCTTCTTCTTCTTCTTGTTTACTACTGGTGGTTGGCTTTGGTCGCAGTACCGCCACCTTCTGCTCGGGAGTGTAAACGCTTCGCCTATGAGAAAAAGGAGCAGCGCATGAACCGAACGAAACACACGCGAACCGAACCGAGACAGTCGAACCGAACGGTTCGGACGGTTTTCATAAACCGCCCCATCCCTAATATATATATATATATATATATATATATATATTAGGGATGGGGCGGTTTATGAAAACCGTCCCAACCGTTGTGGTGGAAGTGATCGCAAACTTGTTTGGCAACTACTTTCTCAAGAATTTTAGCTCAGAAAGGAAGATTGGATATAGGTCTATAATTAACCAAGTCATCTGGGTCAACCTTGAACACTCTGCTCCACATCGTCCTAGTCAAAGCCCAACCACTTCCAGGTAATCCAGAAAACACGAGTCCCTTTTCTCTGTAGCAACTCTTCAGCTTTAGCAGCAGCCATGCTGTGAGTAAACTGTGGAGCTACTGGGTGGAAGGAGGAAAGAGGTGGTGGAAGCAAACGCGCAGGTAAAAAAATGCAGAAGAAGAGACGTCCTCGATTTTACGATTTAGCAAAATTTCAATATATGGACTTTTAAAAACTTGAATTAATCGTATTAATTTGATTCCTCTCCCAACTCTAGGATGAACCCATGATGGTTAGGGTATGGGTCACAGTCAGGCTGTAGAAATAAATGGAAGTCCATGGAAAGGTCCTGCAAAGACAGCAAGACAAGTTTTTGTGTGAGAGTGTGTCCCTGTAGGAGGGAGGCTGGTCTCCAGCAGTCGGTTAATGAGAGACTCGTCTCCATCAATCACTGAAACCTCTGGTTTTCTAAGACCTGGTCCTTCTACTCTGACTTCCTGAACTGTTTCTGTTTCCAGGTGTTGTGTCCAACAGCATGGCTCCACATCCAGCCTTGACAACAGGACAAGATACAGGATCTCCAATAACTTTCCCAGAGGATGAGGACGACCCCAGAGCCTCTGAAGAGGCTGAAGCTGCAACAGGCATATGGGGCTTTTTTAAGGTTAACTCTCTAATCCTTCCACACTTCTGCCTTTCTGCTTGGTGAGACACGTCTCTCCTTTGATCCAAGTTTGCTTCTATTAGAAGATTTTAATATACGGACCAGCGTCTGCAGAAAATAGCTGGACGGAGCGCGGATATGAAAATGCCTGGAAGTGAATGCTGGTATGGAAATGAGCCAGCAGTGCTGACCTGGCTGGCATCTGAAAACTGCTGCTGCTGGTTCTGATGAGCATAACCACACCGGCAGACCAAGATCTGAGGAGACGCCCAGCAGCCACAGCTACATTAAACCTGGCTGAGACCTCAGACTGTCACTCCACTGTCAGAACTACAGCTCAACAAATTCCCTCTCTGCGTTTAACCCGTGGGGAGCAGTGGGCTGCCATGGTGCGGCGCCCGGGGAGCAGTGAGAGGTTGAGGGTCTTGCTCAGGCACCCTGAGTGTCAGTCTTGAACTCACAACCTCTGGGTTCCAAGCTCTATGACCTAACCACTAGGCCACCACAGCCCCCCAATGTAAATAAACATGTTGCAGCATGTTGTGGAGATCCTGAGATTACTGATAATCTACTAAAATCTGGATTCCACTAAAGACCTGTCTGCTACGCCCCCCCCCCGCTGTCCTGGGAGGTCTGTCCTGACTGTTCAGAGCATGTCCAGTCTGTGTTTTGTCCTCTCTGTCCCGCTGCCCTCCAGTCCCGTCTATCAGCGGTAATCATCATTCATTCGTCACTTTTAGACTTCATCTGATTTGCTATTCCTTGTGGACAGAGTAGCTGCTTGGCTGAAGGAGTCACAGCAGCAATCAGGGAATTTAACCGGCAGCTGCTTTGATGTATGTTTAGGTCTAATTAAGGCAACAGGTTGGTTCAATGAATTATTAGCTGGACTCTCAGAAACCTGCAATGCACCAGTAGAGGTGATTCCTTCCTGCTTCCTGACTGGTTCTCAGCCTCATAGACGGAGCTGTTAGTTTCCAGCAGAGAGCAGAGGGTTAGTGAGGAGCAGTGAAGGAAACCATAATTATTGTTGTGATTTGTCAGAATTCAGCCAATCGCTCTATTAGGCCAAATCCCAAAGAAAAGGGATTTATTCCAGCATTCCGTAACGCAGACTGAGCTGTTCTCTTCACCTGTCTCTGTGTTCCCTTTGTCTTTAGGGGGTAGCTGGTAACCCGGTTGTAAAGAATGTCCTGAATAAAACCAAACACTCGGTGGAGTCAATGATCACTACCCTGGATCCTGGCATGGCGCCGTACATCAGTAGGTTGAGCCGCTCACCCCTCTGCTTCCATCAGGGGGCTTCATGTTCAAAGGTCTTCACTCAGGTTTCTGCCCTTAGAGTCGGGAGGAGACATTGACATTGTGGTGGGTTCAGATAAAGACATCAATGTCCAGGCAGTCAGAGAGGCCTTTCAGGAGGTGTTTGGGATGGCCACCATCACTGGAGAGCCCAGTCAGTCCAACATCGCCCCCCAACCAGTGGGCTATGCAGCTGGACTTAAGGTCAGTTTCTTCTCTCTTCTAGCTTTGCTTTAGGATTTTAATATTCTGAAGCAGAATGATGAAAAAGGGGTCCCTATGTCCTCCAGCAGTCTAAGCCTATAGCAGTAGAACTATAGAGATAGAATGAAGCAGAATGATGAAAAAGGGGTCCCTATGTCCTCCAGCAGTCTCAGCCTATAGCAGCAGAACTATAGAGATAGAATGAAGCAGAATGATGAAAAAGGAGTCCCTATGTCCTCCAGCAGTCTAAGCCTATAGCAGCAGAACTATAGAGATAGAATGAAGCAGAATGATGAAAAAGGGGTCCCTATGTCCTCCAGCAGTCTCAGCCTATAGCAGCAGAACTATAGAGATAGAATGAAGCAGAATGATGAAAAAGGAGTCCATATGTCCTCCAGCAGTCTAAGCCTATAGCAGCAGAACTATAGAGATAGAATGAAGCAGAATGATGAAAAAGGGGTCCCTATGTCCTCCAGCAGTCTAAGCCTATAGCAGTAGAACTATAGAGATAGAATAAAGCAGAATGATGAAAAAGGGGTCCCTATGTCCTCCAGCAGTCTCAGCCTATAGCAGCAGAACTATAGAGATAGAATGAAGCAGAATGATGAAAAAGGAGTCCCTATGTCCTCCAGCAGTCTAAGCCTATAGCAGCAGAACTATAGAGATAGAATGAAGCAGAATGATGAAAAAGGGGTCCCTATGTCCTCCAGCAGTCTAAGTCTATAGCAGTAGAACTATAGAGATAGAATGAAGCAGAATGATGAAAAAGGGGTCCCTATGTCCTCCAGCAGTCTCAGCCTATAGCAGCAGAACTATAGAGATAGAATAAAGCAGAATGATGAAAAAGGAGTCCCTATGTCCTCCAGCAGTCTAAGCCTATAGCAGCAGAACTATAGAGATAGAATGAAGCAGAATGATGAAAAAGGGGTCCCTATGTCCTCCAGCAGTCTAAGCCTATAGCAGCAGAACTATAGAGATAGAATGAAGCAGAATGATGAAAAAGGGCCCCCTATGTCCTCCAGCAGTCTAAGCCTATAGCAGCAGAACTATAGAGATAGAATGAAGCAGAATGATGAAAAAGGGGCCCCTATGTCCTCCAGCAGTCTAAGCCTATAGCAGCAGAACTATAGAGATAGAATGAAGCAGAATGATGAAAAAGGGGTCCCTATGTCCTCCAGCAGTCTAAGCCTATAGCAGTAGAACTATAGAGATAGAATGAAGCAGAATGATGAAAAAGGGGTCCCTATGTCTTCCAGCAGTCTAAGCCTATAGCAGTAGAACTATAGAGATAGAATGAAGCAGAATGATGAAAAAGGGGTCCCTATGTCCTCCAGCAGTCTCAGCCTATAGCAGCAGAACTATAGAGATAGAATGAAGCAGAATGATGAAAAAGGGGTCCCTATGTCCTCCAGCAGTCTAAGCCTATAGCAGCAGAACTATAGAGATAGAATGAAGCAGAATGATGAAAAAGGGGCCCCTATGTCCTCCAGCAGTCTAAGCCTATAGCAGCAGAACTATAGAGATAGAATGAAGCAGAATGATGAAAAAGGGGTCCCTATGTCCTCCAGCAGTCTCAGCCTATAGCAGCAGAACTATAGAGATAGAATGAAGCAGAATGATGAAAAAGGGGTCCCTATGTCCTCCAGCAGTCTCAGCCTATAGCAGCAGAACTATAGAGATAGAATGAAGCAGAATGATGAAAAAGGGGTCCCTATGTCCTCCAGCAGTCTAAGCCTATAGCAGCAGAACTATAGAGATAGAATGAAGCAGAATGATGAAAAAGGGGTCCCTATGTCCTCCAGCAGTCTAAGCCTATAGCAGCAGAACTATAGAGATAGAATGAAGCAGAATGATGAAAAAGGGGGTCCCTATGTCCTCCAGCAGTCTAAGCCTATAGCAGCAGAACTATAGAGATAGAATGAAGCAGAATGATGAAAAAGGGGTCCCTATGTCCTCCAGCAGTCTAAGCCTATAGCAGCAGAACTATAGAGATAGAATGAAGCAGAATGATGAAAAAGGGGCCCCTATGTCCTCCAGCAGTCTAAGCCTATAGCAGCAGAACTATAGAGATAGAATGAAGCAGAATGATGAAAAAGGGGCCCCTATGTCCTCCAGCAGTCTAAGCCTATAGCAGCAGAACTATAGAGATAGAATGAAGCAGAATGATGAAAAAGGGGTCCCTATGTCCTCCAGCAGTCTAAGCCTATAGCAGTAGAACTATAGAGATAGAATGAAGCAGAATGATGAAAAAGGGGTCCCTATGTCCTCCAGCAGTCTCAGCCTATAGCAGCAGAACTATAGAGATAGCTCAGGATAACCTGAGCCACTCTAACTAGAAGCTTTATCAAAAAGGAAAGTTTTAAGCCTAGCCTTAAAGTAGCATTCTTTAAAGGCAAGGCTTTATCTTCTATAATAAAACAGCAGCGTTTAGTTACATTACATTTCAGGAAGGACTCGGGGTTTTGAATGGAAGTTCAGCAAATGTCTCTTTGTTAAACTAAAAAGTAAAACATTGCTATTTTAATGACTGAGAGTTTGCTCCACAGACTGTGGTTAGCGTTTAAAGCTGAAGGAGCGTATCTATATCTCTGCAGGGAGCTCAGGAACGGATTGACAGCTTGCGTCGGACCGGAGTCGTCCACGAGAAGCAGCCTGTTGTCGCCTTGGAAAGCTTCATAGCTGAACTCTTTCCAGAGAAGTATGAAACCATCCCAACAGCCCAAACGATAGTCGCAGCACAGAGGAGGGCTAACCAAGTCCAATTTGCTTTTTTGTGTCCTTTTTTTAACCAATGTTGAATTTACAATTTAAAATTTGTATTTCTCTGCACCAACCAACAGCATGTAGATGTTTCCCTTCAGGTCTGATGAAAGCTTGCTTTTTGTGTCCAAAACTTAAAACCAGTTTCTGCCACATAAGGTGCTGGAAGCAGAGAACCAGAACCTAGTCTTGACAGAAATGAAACCAGTGCAGTGAGAGGCGGCGATAAGCCTCACCTGGCAGAATCATTCATGTCTTTGCTGCTTTGATTCATGCCGGTTAAACATGTTGCTCTGCATTCAGAATATTCTCTCTCCTCACCTCAGTCAGCTTCCCCCTTCTGCTGTTTGAGTTAAATTGAGCTGCAATCAGCTTTTAGGGATCAATCAATTGTGTCACATGAGTAATTATTCATATTTAATTATCTTTGTCCTAATGTTCTAATGATAAGATATACTGCATCATCAGGCTAAATCAATAGCACTGCTAACTGAATTCTAGCTGCTGCTATTTAGTAGATCAGCTTCTTGTTTCTGTTGTCCTTTGAGTCGATCAGGAGGAATTAGTTTCATATTTGAAGAGCAACACTGCATGATGTGGACATTTTAGTTCATTTTAGAGCAGCTTCCTCTGCTTAATGTTTAAATAGGAGCAACATCTTAATCTTTGTGAAAATAAAACGTTGATGAAAACATCAGTGGAGCGAAAATGATCAAATTCCATTCAGATCCAAACTATTTCCCCTCTGAAATGTTCCTCATTCTGATCGAATGGAAAAAGGAAAACCTTTCATGAAGAGGGTCAGACATGAAACTATCCACCTCTAGACAATATACCCAACAAGTAGGCTGTTTTTAATAAGACCACTGATGTTAAAACAAAAGCTGCACAGCAGACATGGTGGATTCCACTACAAATCCAGTATATCCACAAACAGTTAAGCTCCTGCTGATTTCTCCAGCGTCTGCCTGACGTCCCAGAATCACCTAAACTCTGCAGACGCTGAACTTTCCATGGATTCTTTCTATTCTGGGCGTAAACAGAGGATTCATAACGAGTCCAGAACTTCTGTCCAACGACAGCCTAACTTCTGCATGACGCACGGCAGCGTAACGCTCAGGAAATGATGAGTCCTGTTTAGGGCTGGGTATTGTTCAAAAATTTTCGGTTCCGGTACCAATACCGATACCTTCACTTCGATACCGGTTCCTGAACGATACTTTTTTAGATACCAGTTTTATAATATCAATTCGAAAAAAAAGAAAATTATACAACATAAAGAAGTACAAATCTTGATTTTTATTTTAAGCTCTGATTTTTCCATTTACCGTATTTTCACGACCATAAGGCGCACTTAAACGTCTTTTTTTCCCTCAAAATGTGCGGTGCGCCCTATGGTGCGGTGCGCCCTATGTGTGTTGTAACTGCGACTTTTGAGACCACCTCATTGAGGAGATGATGAAAGAGTGGCTGAATGTAAGGAGACCAGGTGTTTTTTTTTTCTACTCATCGCCATCGCTGTTAATATGTAACTCCATGCGTGCCCACCCATCTCACAGCTGATGTGAAAAACATGGGGAAACAAATTAATGCTGTGCTCGCTGTTCAACCGCTCGACATCGGTGTGAACCGGACCCAGCAGGTGCAGCAGAAGCAGCGAGTTTACATGCAAAGTCAATGGTTGACGCGCGTATAGGCGCAGCAAAAGGTCCCGCAGCGCGTTTTGAGCAGCAGGCGCAGCGCCTCGGGAGCGTTTAAGCATCTGACGCACCGCCAACGCGCTGCTGCTGCTCGAGATGGAAAAATTGAAGTTTTGCTGCTGGACGCGCCGCATCAACCAATCAGAGAAGCTGATCTGGGAGCTGACAGCGAGACAGACACAGCGCTCTGATGACATTAACGCAAATGAAAAAGGCTGGATGGATGAGGAGATGATGAAAGCGTGGCTGAGGCAGGTGTATGTGAGGAGACCAGGTGGTTTTTTCCACGCATCACCATCGCTGCGTGCCCATCTCACAGCCGATGTGAAAAAAAAGGTGAATCAAATGAACGCTGTGCTCGCCGTTATCCCGGGGGGTCTGACAAAGGAACTTCAACCGCTCGACATCGGTGTGAAGCTGCCGTTCAAAGTAAGGCTGCGAGCGGCGTGGGAGCGATGGATGACAGACGGAGACCACAGTTTCAGGATAAGTGGAAGGCAGCGCCGGGCAAGTTACGCCACCGTTTGCGGATGGATTGTAGATGCTTGGACTAACGTGTCTGCTGGCTCTGTTGTTCAAGCTTTCGCAAAAGCAGGCATTATTTCTGAGGAGCCGCGCTGCACGGAAAGTGACTCTGACAGCGAAGAAGGGGAAACTGGCATGTCTGATTTAGCGCAGCTGTTTAATTCAGAAACAGAGGATGATGACTTTGATGGGTTTGATTAATACTTTGTAATAAATACATGAATAAAGCACAATCATACTCAGTTTTGCTCCCGCTCTATTTTTCTACCTGAAAACTTAATTCAACAGCAGCCTCTGGGCCGGGTCTCCTCCTCTTCATCGCGGCGGCTGGCAGGTGTTTTTTCATCTAAATAATCTAAATCTTGCAGCTATATTTCCTGTGATCAGTGGGAATAAAGTAGTTTTAATATGTTTTTAAGTGAGAAAGTCCACCTGAAAACTTAATAATTGCAGTCAGTTCATCCAGATTATCTATTTCTGTCGGAGGCGCTCAGACCCCCACATACCAGCGGTGCACCGACAGGAGAAATCCTTTCAACAGCAGCCTCTAGGCTGGGCAGCCTCCGGGTTCACGCGGTGGCTGGCAGGTGTTTTTCATCTAAATAATTTAAACTGCAGGCACCAGGATACCGGTAATAAAAGCGAACATATTCCGTCGGCAGGTTTCAGGATTTTAAGTTAATTTAGGAGTGAATCAGAACGCTGTGTCATCTGAGATGTGTCTGTCTCACGGCCAGCTCCCAGGTTTGATTAATACTTTGTAATAAATACTTGAATAAAGCACAATCATACTCAGTTTTGCTCCCGCTCTATTTTTCTACCTGAAAAGTTAACTCAACAGCAGCCTCTGGGCCGGGTCTCCTCCTCTTCACCGCGGCGGCTGGCAGGTGTTTTTCATCTAAATAATTTAAACTGCAGGCACCAGGATACCAGCAATAAAAGCGAACATATTCCGTCGGCAGGTTTCAGGATTTTAAGTTAATTTAGGAGTGATCACAGCGCTGTGTCATCTGAGATGTGTCTGACTCACGGCCAGCTGCCAGGTTTGATTAATACTTTGTAATAAATACATGAATAAAGCACAGTCATACTCAGTTTTGCCCCCGCTGTATTTTTAAATACGCTGTAGAGGTATTTAAAGGTAGTAGAGGACATTAACCTGTATATAAAAAACGCGCCCTATAGTCCGGTGCGCCTTATGTGTGTGTTAAATACAGAAATGGGACACATAACTGAGACTGCGCCTTTTAGTACGGTGCGCCTTATGGTCGTGAAAATACGGTACATTTTTCCTCTTACATAAAAAAACAAATTTCAGTGTCTAATATTCACTGTTACATTGTGAGGACCTTTTTATTTAGCAGTTTTCCTTTAGAAAAATTACCATGTCTGACAAACAAGCCCGTTGAATGGGATCCTACTGACAGCGCACCGCTGGTATGGGGGGGTCTGAGCGGCTCCCACAGAAATATTGGAAGGCAGGATGAACTGACTGCACTGATTAAGTTTTCAGGTGGATTTTCCCACTTAAAAACATAATAAAACTACTTTATTCCCACTGATCACAGCAAATATAGCTGCAAGGAGAATAAAGGATAGAGTAGCTCCGCCCAACGTGTGTCAGAGCCACTTTTGCACCGTGCAGCCAGAGCAGCAAAGCTGCTTCATCCGCGCGTCAGAAGCTGGAACAAGCAACAAAAAGGAAGCAGCAGACGTGATTTTGCTGCTCCTGCTGCGTCCAGTGTGAACGCATCATGATTCACTCCGCTCTGGCTTTGCTCCGCCCACGGGCTGCTGAGAGGAGGATGGTCGCGCCGGCTGCAGTCCGCTCTTCTTGCAGTCAAACACTGAGCAACTTTCTGTTCTTAAATAGTTTCCATGCACGATGTATTGCATTGCGCACTATTGGCATCAGTCTTAATAAAGTGAAGCCGCACTTTTGACCTGGGGGGCATTTTAAAGGGGTTCCACGACGCTCACAACCAGTTCACAACAGATACACATGAACCCTGGCTGTATTTTTCTTGGATGACGCAATCACGTTAAGTGTTACAGCCAATCACCGAAACTTGGTACCAAAAGACCAGGCATGTTTCGATACTCTGTAGAACCGATGCATTTCGGTCGGTACCATAAAAGTACCGAAGTTCGGTAACCAGCCCTAGTCCTGAGGGGGGCAGCGATGCGCCTGGAGGCGCCCGGCTGCAGAAAGAGATGTCTTGAACTTTAACTGAGCCATCAGATCAACGAAGCCGAACCACAGCAAGACCTGCTGTGACCCAAACAACAGCTCTGATGTCATCAGTCTAAGCCCCTCCCCTCAGGGGACTGCGCGGGGGCCTGTCAGGGAGCCCCAGCAGAGTGGGGGCCTGTCGGGGAGCAGGGGCCTGTCAGGGAGCCCCAGCAGAGCGGGGGCCTGTCAGGGAGCCCCAGCAGAGTGGGGGCCTGTCGGGGAGCAGGGGCCTGTCAGGGAGCCCCAGCAGAGCGGGGGCCTGTCAGGGAGCCCCAGCAGAGTGGGGGCCTGTCGGGGAGCAGGGGCCTGTCAGGGAGCCCCAGCAGAGCGGGGGCCTGTCAGGGAGCCCCAGCAGAGTGGGGGCCTGTCGGGGAGCAGGGGCCTGTCGGGGAGCAGGGGCCTGTCAGGGAGCCCCAGCAGAGCGGGGGCCTGTCAGGGAGCCCCAGCAGAGTGGGGGCCTGTCGGGGAGAAAGGGGCCTGTCGGGGAGCAGGGGCCTGTCAGGGAGCCCCAGCAGAGTGGGGGCCTGTCGGGGAGCAGGGGCCTGTCGGGGAGCAGGGGCCTGTCGGGGAGCAGGGGCCTGTCAGGGAGCCCCAGCAGAGCGGGGTCTGTCAGGGAGCCCCAGCAGAGTGGGGGCCTGTCGGGGAGCAGGGGCCTGTCGGGGAGCAGGGGCCTGTCAGGGAGCCCCAGCAGAGTGGGGGCCTGTCGGGGAGCAGGGGCCTGTCGGGGAGCAGGGGCCTGTCGGGGAGCAGGGGCCTGTCAGGGAGCCCCAGCAGAGTGGGGGCCTGTCGGGGAGCAGGGGCCTGTCAGGGAGCCCCAGCAGAGTGGGGGCCTGTCGGGGAGCAGGGGCCTGTCGGGGAGCAGGGGCCTGTCGGGGAGCCCCGGCAGAGCGGGGGCCTGTCGGGGAGCAGGGGCCTGTCAGGGAGCCCCGGCAGAGCGGGGGCCTGTCGGGGAGCGGGGGCCTGTCGGGGAGCCCCGGCAGAGTGGGGGCCTGTCGGGGAGCGGGGGCCTGTCGGGTAACGGGGGCCAAGCTGCAGCAGATGTGTGTCTGTGTGGGAAACAGGGGCGGCCCCACATTAGCATAATGACATCATCATTTATAACCATAAATTCACATTAATGAATAATAAAAACAAAGTTTATTCCATTTGGAAGCGCCCGATGCTTCAACATGTCGGCATTCAGAGATGTTTGATGTGTTTCAGGTGGTTCGATCTTTGCTGTTTGATGTTGGACGATCCTGCTCACGCCATCTGCTTGGAGGTCTTCACTCAGGCCACTCCTCTGGCTCCTGATCACGTTCAGCAGGTAACAACTGTGCTTTGCTGAAGAAAATATTATGTTCCAGATGTTTCCTTTAACATCTCCAGTGATTTAACAACTCCATCCAAGTTAGTTTCATTGTTAATTTTTGACATTTGTTGAAGTAAAACACGCCTCATGTTTTCTATTATGTCTCATGGTTTTCCAGCTAAGCTCTAAATGACTCATTTCATCCTTTCCTTCCTGAGGAACCAAGTTCAGTTCAGCTCCTGTCAGATGTGACACAGACTTTATTGTGGACAACAGAACAATGTGACCCTCCAGTAACAACCCTGCTTAACCAGAACATAATGAGACCAATGAAGAAGAACCATGCAGCATGCTTGTAGCGACAGTGGAGAGGAAAACTCTCTTTAAACAGGAAAAACCTCCAGCAGAACCAGGCTCAGTGTGAGCGGCCATCTGCTGAGCCCGACTGGGGTTCAAGGAGACAGAAGCAGACATAGAAAAAGAACATAGAAGCTCTGATCTATAAACACTTTCTAAATTAGAAAAGCTCATTTTAAATTAGCTACTCAGGCGGCTCTGTCTGGGAACGAAACAGTTAGTCAGACGGGCTCTGAGGCAGTTTTAGTGTCAGAGGATGAAAGAGAGAAGAGAAATCCCTCGGTGTTCACCTGGACAACAACCTGGAGACACAGCTGAAGACGTCTGCAAGAAGGGACAGAGCAGACTGGACTTCTAGAGGAAGCTCAGAGGCTGCAGATCTTCTATCAGTCTGATCTCTGCCTCCATCATCATCATCATCAGAGCTAATGACTGAAAGAAGCTTAAGCAGCTGATAAAGAAGGCCGGCTCTGTGTGCTTAACGAGGGCGCCTGACCAAATTACTTTGTTTTGGGATTCTTCTGCGCCCCTCCCAGCGGACTCATGCAGACAGAATTTCTGCACCGAACACCCAGGAAAACTGGTAACCAGGCGGATGGATCCGCACGGGAAACATGGTGAGCAGCGGCAGCTCCTGCTGGCGAGGGTTCGCAGATGTAAATATCTAGAGCCGTTCTGTGATTTAACTCATAAATATCAGCACTATCAACAGATGGTTAAAAACTCCAAGAAAGAAACAACTGTTTCTGTCCAATGGCAGGAAGAGGACTTCCTGCGTCCAGCTATGCTCCGCCCACAGAACTACGGCCCAGTTTTTACCAACTGAAAAAGAAGAGCTTGGAAAGTCTGCAGCTGCAGAACTACAGCCATGGCCAAAAGTATTGAGAATGATTCAAATATAATTTCACCTGATCTGCTGCCCTCTGGTGTTCATGTCAGATGTTGCATCACATCCAGAAATACAATTGCATCATATTCTGAGTAACCAAAGCTTTTAATGACAGAATGAGTTAATGCAGGAAGTCAATATTTAGACTCCTCTTCTTCAGGACATTTCTCCCTGGCTGCTCTCCATCAGCTTCTGGACCAAATCTTGACTGATGGCGTCCATTCTGCTCCATCAATGCTCGAATTTGGTCAGGATTCTGTTGATGATTGACCAATGGATTAAGATCAGGGGAGTTTCCAAGCCATGGACCCAACATCTCTCTGTTTTGTTCCCTGAGCCAGTTAGATATCAGCTTTGCTTTATGGCGAGGTGCTCCATCATGCTGGAAAAGGCATCGTTCAACACCAAACTGCTCTGGGACGGTTGGGAGAAGTTGCTCTGGGAGGACATTCTGGTTCCGTTCTTTATTCATGGCTGTTTTTAGGTCAGACTGGGAGAGAGCCGACTCCCTTGGCTGAGAAGCAATCCCACCATGAATGGTTCCAGGATGCTTTACAGTCGGCATGAGACCAGACTGCTGGTAGCGCTCACCTGGTCTTCTCCCAACCAGCTGTTTTCCAGATGTCCCAAACAATGGAAAAGGGGATTGCTGAGAGGAAATGACTTTCCCCCAGTCCTCAGCAGTCCCCTCCCTGGACCTTTAGCAGAATATCAGTCTGTCCCTGATGGTTTTCCTGGAGAGAAGTGGCTTCTTTGCTGCCCTCCTTGAGACCAGGCCTTGCTCCAAGAGTCTCCGCCTCACAGTGCAGATGCACTCACACCTGCCTGCTGCCATTCCTGAGCAAGCTCTGCACCGCTGGTAGCCCCATCCCGCAGCTGAAACACTTTTCAGAGACGGTCCTGGCGCTCGCTGGTCTTTCTTGGCGCCCTGGAGCCTTTTTGGCAGCAATGGAACCTCTCTCCTTGAAGTTCCTGATGATGCCATAGATTGCTGACTGAGGTGCAATCTCTCTAGCTGCCATTCTCTTTCCTGTTCGGCCATCTTTGTGCAGTGCAATGATGACTGCAGGTGTTTCTTTAGAGATAACCATGGTTCACAGCAGAGAACCAATGATGCCGAGCAGCAGCCTCTTTTTAAAGTGTCCAGTGGCGTCATTCTGACTCAATCCTGACAGATTGATCTGCAGCCCTGTCCTCATCACCACCCACACCTGTGTTCATGGACCAATCACTGAAACCATGGTAGCTGCTCCTTTAAGGCAGGGCTGCAATCACCATGAAATGTGTTTTGGTGATAAAGTTCATTTTCTAGGCAAATATTGACTTTGCAATTAATTGCTGTTACGCTGATCACTCTTTAGAACATTCTGGAGTTTATGCAGATTGCTGTTATAAAAACTGAACAGTAGACTTTGTAAATATTAACATTTGAATCATTCTCAAAGCTTCTGGCAGGACTGTTCAGGCCCGACTAGAAGTTCTGCTTCAGCAGGAAAATTATGAAAAAAGCTGTGATTCCCACCTTCCTAACAATGAGCACGTTTCCCTGAGCCTGACCTCATTAAGGTTCATTAACACCCACACCCACTGTAGAGATTTCTCAGAGCCTCATTGGACCCGACAGTACCGCTTCAGTTTGCATGTTTTCTAAACCATGTTTTTGGCCGCCCTGTAAAGCCTGGAACTAATTCAGACAAAAGCTTCCAGGATGGGAAGAGAAACATCTTCAAACTTGGAAACAAAGTCCAGTGGATTGATTTTGAGACTCTTCCCCAGGATCCTGTGAGGAACCACAGTGCCGGCATTATTAGACCTCCACTGTTGATCCCTGCATTTTATTAGAGCGTCTGGAAAACTGGGTCAGTCTTTCTGGTCTGGAAGGACAGGGACCTTTATGTGTGAGTGGGTAACTTTACACCAGAGCCCACAGAAATCACATGTGGTGTTCCCCAAGGCTCCATCTCAGGGCCCCTCCTATTCATCAACCTGCTCCAATTACCGTGCGTTACCATGGCACCATGTGGGTAAATCAGAGAAGAAATCAACCCTTGAATATTCTGACTGAATAACTTCCCCTCCGACGGACTCAGAACAGCTGCTGAGGACTGATGGATCTTCTTTAGTGTCAAACACGGCAGCATGTTGTCCAAAGTAGTTAATATAAGAAGTTAATAATTGTTGTTTATTTTGACAGGTAAAATGTTGCTGGTTATTTTATTTTGTTTTCTATTGTGATTTGAGTTTTTAACCCTTTGGATGAAATAAATGTTGCCGTATTGAAATAGTTTTGGATGCTTTGTTTTATAGAAAGTTTACCTGTTAAAAATGTTTTGCTCGTCTAACTACAGGTGATTTGGTATAAAGCTGAAAGTCACTAGCATAGACCTTTTTGTTCCCACAGGCTCAGTCCCGGACCCCTCCTGACTACAGCCTGCGTTGGTCCGGTCTGGCTGTGACGGTGGGGGAGGTCCTGGAGCACGGTCTGCCCAACATTAACAGGACAGACTGGCATCAGTCTGTGACGGGGTTGAGCCAACGTCACATGATCCAGAGCGCGGCCAAAGCTCTGGCTGGAATCTACAAACAGAAACTTCCTTCCTGGATGGAATGAGGCTGATGAAGATAACCGCTAACGTTCCTCTCTTTGTTTTAGATCCATTGCTTTGTGCCAACAGAGATTATCTCAGTTAATTTTTAATTTTTATGATTTCAACTCAGTCTTTTGTTGAAGTATTGTGCTTTGAAAAAGTAAACAATTGACAATCAGTATGTATTCTAGATGGGTCACTGTCTAGTATTTTTAAAGCATAGTGCCAGTTTTCTGACACTGTCTGCCATGTAAATAAAAATGCTAACCCTTACAATGATTTTCATAAGTTGATGAATTGAAAATAAATGTACGTTTTCCCATTTTCCCCTAACGGATGTTTTCTGACATTTAACATAGTCTGGAGTTTCCTCCTTTGCACTGAAATGTGCTTTCATGTACGATCTGGTGGAGCCAACAGAATTGACAAAGAGTTGCCTTCCAGTTGAAGCCTGATTATGGTAGGATGATCCACTGGTTTAGATCCACTGGTTTAGATACGTGGATGACACTTTGGTAAAATCCAGCTAAAGGAAGTGGAAGCTTTCACAGGACACATCAGCTCTGTCGACCATAACATCAGATTCACCAGAGAGGACGCCGAGGACAACAAACCACCTTCTGGTTTTCTTAATGTTTTTATATTTCTCATGCATTGGATGCCCTAAAATTGAGTTTTGGTGGACAGAAAAAATTTGAATTAAAACAATTTTTCCTTGTATGCAGACGCGATGTGCTACAGTCAGTGTGCCATGAATACATTCTCTGTTCAGTGGATCATTTTGCTATCAACACTATTTTATATCATTTCTCGCAAAACAGTAAGAATATGTTTCAAAGTTTCCTTTTTTTGTTCATATTTCAATCCTTTTTCTCATCAATATGCCAGAGTTTAGGGTGATGCATGCTGCAGCGACAGAAGAGGTCATTCTCAGCAGGCAGGTATAACTCCAGTGTCGTGCAAAGGTTGGTATCCCTGCCAGAAATGGTGTCCCGGGAGCAGGAGCTGATGGCGTTCACTCCACCTCGGTTCGAATAAGGGCAGTACAACATATACCCGGAGGCGTTTGACATGATGCTTAACCAGACTCTTCGATGGTCTGGTGTTGGACTGAGGGTGGACAGGCAGGCTGATTGGTCCTGTAAGGAGTCACCAGAGAGGAGACAGGAGCAGCGAGGAGATGAAGGAAACGGACCTGATCCTGGAGAGCGTCCGGTCTGGTTCTGTGGAGGACGAGAGCAAGGAGAGGTTAGAGGAGGCTCAGGGAGCTTAGAACGCTACCAGAGCTGACTGGCAGCTTGCTCCAGGAACCTGCTCCGTTATAAAGCTCCCCACTGATTGCTGAGTAACAGCCATGGAAAATTAACCCATTTTCTATGTTTCCATGGCGATCATGTGTTGCACTGTTACAGCCCACAATACAGCAACGGTTTACCATGGCTGAAACCAAGTTAAGGTGAAATTAATCAAATTAAAACACGGCTGAGAGGGAGTACAGAATGTGGTAGTCATAGGCAGTAGTCTGAGCAGCGGGAAAAGAGGCATTCAAGATGGTGGCCATGCAAAGTGCTTATGTCATGACGACCAAGCCCTATATAAACAATAAAATCCTGTAAAGTGCTTTAACAATATCAAACTGGAGAATAAATAACCAATTATGCAGCTATGGACATTTTTACAGTGATGGATGTTTGAAAATAGCAGCAACATCAGAGATGTGCAGAATGACAGCAGCAGGTTATTTAACCGACTAAGGTTTCTATCATTACATTTGATTTGAATTGTTCCTGCTCCCGGTGGGTGGAACCTTTATTCCACTCTGGATTCTCATCAGTCTTTGTTCACTTTATAATAAAAAATAAACTTCTGTATTCATTCTTTTCCTGCTTTGTGTGTCAACTTTCATGGTTGCTAAGCAACAGAGCATACGGCGGTTAAACCCGTCGAACACTTCCGGTCTCCTTGTTTTCAAGGACTTGGAAGGATCCAGTCTAGGTAGGAGGTAGGAGTAGGTGGAGGATGCAGCCCAGGATTTCGAACACAGCCATTTTTTCAGTTTTGTTATCAATCAGTTAAAACTTCATGGGTCATTATCCACGCTAACGCTACAGACTAGACACACTGACGCTGCATTGTTATTATCGTTGTCTAGGAAACCATAATGATTTACATCGTGAGGGAACGTTCAGCCAATCATGTGGCGTAACGTCACTGGCAGGAAGCAGGACCCCAGCAGACCTGGGAGCTACAGCGGCCGCTAGGAGGCAGACTTGTTACCCCTTGAAGAAGAAGAAGAAGAAGACTGTTACCATGGTAACGTCCACACCGCTGGGCTGCTATGCATTAGCTTGTGTGTGTTTCTACCTCTAAGGAGCTGCAGGAGGAGATCAAGGTAAGGGGGGCGGACTGGACCGGATCGGACTGGACCGGACCGGGCGTTCGAACCGAACCATCAGCTCCGGGTCCGGAGCCAGCGGGGGACGGAGCGACCGAACCCGCCTCGGTGGCTGTAAGATTCCACCCGCTGGCCGCAGCGGGCAAACGGGCCGCGGCTACCATCAGCTCCGGCCCCTGCTGGCCCCGGCTGGGCCCTGGTGGTCCCGCAGCCGATGGTTCGGTTGTGCTGCCCTGTGGGACCCTAATCCGGAGTATTTTCAGGTGTGAGCATCAGACCTCAGTCTATGAAGAACAGCAGTTTGGTTAAAGATGGAGGATGTGACGCCTAAAATAAATGAGTTAAAATCTTGGATCAAACTCTGAAGATTCTGTGGTTTTTTATTCCAAGGTTCAACAAAACTGGAGGATTATAATTTATTCTGGGAGTGAATTTTAATGTAGACAAACTGTTAAACTAATCCTCCTGTCCTGGAAAATTCATTTCAAACCTTTAGAGTCAGACTGCAATAAATTATATAGAGATAATTTATCTTTTTCAACTTTTGGCCTCTCATCCAATAAACCCACAATTAGCTGCTTTGTCAGCAACATTTTATTAGAAACTGGTTTAATTACCTTTACCCTGAAAAACTAAATAAAAATAGCATCCTACAAAAACAGGATAAAAGTTCAATAACCAAACTAAGAACAATATATCTAACTCTCCCATTTGCCCCACAGTAATGAACAACATTTATTCCTCTAGAGAATAAGGGAGTCTTGGCTTTGATGATGAGACAGAAACTGCAGAGCTGCTGATCTTCTGCTGCTCACTGATGCAAACGTTTCTATAAACGGATTAAACATTTATCTTTATTCCAACATTTATCTGCAGAGACGACGTCGCTCTAATGTTGCAGTAAAGCTGATGAGCTCTGCACTAAGCTACATTTCCAGTCATTAATGTGGAATTCCCAAATCATCTCCCAAATTTGTTGTTTTCTTAAAATAGTTTAATATTTATATAAAATCATTAAAGATTAAGAAAAGTCCTAAAGCACAAATAATCTCTGATTTCCTAAAACTCTACAGAAATAAACGGCTAAACAAAGACTGAATTCTCCCCTCATGTTAAACTTTATTATTTTATTTCATAACCTTGTTTTTATATTATAAGTATTCTTATAATTTCTATTTTTTATTTATTTGGTTTGATGTAGTTGAATGTTATAACCTTCTATAGCAGGTCGATGTTCCACATATATTTCTTCTTTGTGCCCCTGGATGTATTTTCCATCTATCCTGACTTGCAGCCATTTTTGTCTGTAAATCTGGATCTTTTCTCTAAAAAAGGTTAAAATGCCGTAAAACCTCTGATAGAAGAGAAGGTTTCAGTCTGATCCCTGATCAATGGTGCTGCTTGCTTTCCAGGCATCATGTGGAGCCAGAGGCCGCCTTCCAGCACCGGGAGGCCGATGAGCCGCACTGGATCTGCTGCTGCAGCGGCTGGAAGACCCCCGACGGCTGTGAGGCCCCCACCCACCGCGGTCCGGGTGCCTACCGGGGTAAAGCCTGGAGCCTGCGCCCCCCTTTCATTAAAACAACCAATATAAGCTAAGATTCATTCATCAATAACTTTGATCATCAATCAGTTCATCTAAAGATAATCGACTGATAATCTTCTGTTGTCAGGAATGTTTTTATTTTTCAATAATAAGATTTAAATTATATATATATATATATATATATATATATATATATATATATATATATATATATATATATATATATATATATATATATATATATATTACATACAGGGGTTGACATTAAGGATTTTTACCACTTGCCCACAGAAACAATTTTTACTTACCCAGTATAATGTTTGATAAATATAGTTCCTAATATTCATTGTTGTATATATATCAATGAAACATGTTTGTTTTTTAAATGTTTTTTGTAATAAGTTTCCAGGTTCCTGGTGTGTATCTGCATGCGTCAGATAATGAACTCAAGCCTACATTACCGTGTTAACATGCTTTTCAATCCTTCCTGCTCATTCTTTTCAAACTAAACTTTGCTTTAAACTGTTGTGTGCTTGGAAAAATATAAATTTTAATGTTAAAAATAAAAAAAAAAACTTGACAGGTTAAAAACTGAAGATAAATCACAGACAGAAGTCAATGTCACAAATGAATAACTTTTATTTAAAGTCACGGTATGTTTATACAAGATAATACTATTAATATAATGTGACTTTTCTAGAGAATCATCATAGTTATTTTATTCAGGGTTTCCACAGTCTGACATCATTTCAGAATTTCTTGACTTTTAACTGACTCAGGATCAGTTTTCCCTGACAAAATAAATGCAGCAACAAGACAATAATAATAACATAACAGGTCACCAATCTAACATGTTTAGCTCTATAACATTTAAATGCACCTCTCCAATGTCTGAGAGAAAAAAATAATGAACATTTTTTAATATGTGACCTGCATCACTGTACAGAGGACTGCCATATGATTGCGCTTTCTAGCTTGTTTGTCGTTTTGGTAACTACATAAAAATTACCGATAGATGGACAAAAATCACGCCATCTGGTGGAAAATCACCCGGCTTTTTGAAATCACACGAGAATGTGTACAAAACAACAAAAATGGCGCCGGAAACGCTTCTGGGTCGTTTTCATTGAATGCTTGTGATTTTAAAGTCATATGTGTGATAAATTTTATTGCACTTGCCTGGCGGGCAAATGCAATGAAATTTGTACTCTACCAACAATAAAAACTACTTGCCCCGGGAGATCGGGAAATGGTTAACATCGAGCCCTGATACATATATATATATATATATATATATATATATATATATATATATATATATATATATATATATATATATATACACACACACAGTGGGTACGGAAAGTATTCACACTCCTTTCAATTTTTCACTCTCTGTGAAAAGCTAAAATCAATAAATTATTTTATTTCTCTATAGTGTTACTCAGCAGCCCATCCTGACAGAAAATAACAGAAATGTTGAAAAACATTTGTAAATGTATTAAAAAAGAGAAGCTGAAATATCACCTGGTGATTAGTATTCAGACCCTCAGTATGGAGTAGAAGCAGCCATAAGTCTTCCTGGGAATGATGATGGATCCTCTGCCGTTCTTCCTCTCCAGGTCTGTCAGGGTGGATGCTGAGCGTTGGTGGGCGGCCATTTTCAGGTCTCTCCAGGATGCTCCATGGGGTTTAGGTCAGGGCTCTGGCTGGGCCAGTGAGGAAGGGTCCCAGAGTTGTTCTTCTAGCCGTTAGCTTAGGGTCATGGTCTTGTTGGAAGGAATTAATCTTTCCTTCAATCACAACCAGTTGACCTGTCCCTGCACCCCATAGCATGATGCTGCCATTGCCATGTTTCACTGTTGGGATTGTATATCGCTTAGAATGAACCTCGGTCTGATGAGAACAGAGAATCTTCTATTAGTCTTAGTTTCATGTTTATTTATTTCAGATGGTTCCAGGTAGCAGTGGTGTGAAGGGAGGCGTGCCCTCCCCTGGCGTCCTGTCAGCAGCCATCAAAGTGACGGACAGGCCGGTCACCCAGCAGGGCCTCAGTGGGATGAAGACCGGCATCAAAGGTGTTCTGATGGGTCCCTCAGCCTGCTGGTTGGTTTGGATGGAGCGTTGAAAGTTTCTGGCCTCTAACAGATCATTTCTTTCTTCTTCTTTCATCACGTTTGGTGCTGCAGGGCCTCAGAGACAGATCCTGGATAAGTCCTACTACCTGGGTCTCCTCAGGTAACGTAATGAGCTCAGCCTCCTACATGATCCTTTATCTATGAAATGGGCCGTAGTTCAGCTCCTCCCTTCATCCTTTTCCTAATTTCTGTCATTGTTCCTTCTATGCAGGTAGGCGCAGGGTGCAGGTAGGCGCAGGGTGCAGGTAGATGTGGGGTTCAGGTAGGCGTGGGGCGCAGGTAGGCGCGAGGTGCAGGTAGGCACAGAGTGCAGATAAGCGCAGGTAGGCGTGGGGAGCAGGTAGACGCAGGTAGGCATGGGGTGCAGGTAGGCGTAGATAGGCGCGGGGTGCAGGTAGACGGGGGGTGCAGGTAGACGCAGGTAGGCATGGGGTGCAGGTAGGCGTAGATAGGCGCGGGGAGCAGGTAGGCGTGGGGAGCAGGTAGACGCAGGTAGGCATGGGGTGCAGGTAGGCGTAGATAGGCGCGGGGAGCAGGTTGGCGCGGGGTGCAGGTTGGCGTAGATAGGCGCGGGGAGCAGGTTGGCGCGGGGTGCAGGTTGGCGTGGGGTGCAGGTAGACGGGGGTGCAGGTAGACGCAGGAAGGCATGGGGTGCAGGTAGGCGTAGATAGGCGCGGGGAGCAGGTAGGCGTGGGGAGCAGGTAGACGCAGGTAGGCATGGGGTGCAGGTAGGCATAGATAGGCGCGGGGAGCAGGTTGGCGCGGGGTGCAGGTTGGCGTAGATAGGCGCAGGGAGCAGGTTGGCGCGGGGTGCAGGTTGGCGTGGGGTGCAGGTAGACGGGGGTGCAGGTAGACGCAGGTAGGCATGGGGTGCAGGTAGGCGTAGAAAGGCGAGGGGAGCAGGTTGGCGCGGGGTGCAGGTAGGCGTAGATAGGCGCGGGGAGCAGGTTGGCGCGGGGTGCAGGTTGGCGTGGGGTGCAGGTAGACGCAGGTAGGCATGGGGTGCAGGTAGGCGTAGATAGGCGCGGGGAGCAGGTTGGAGCGGGGAGCAGGTAGACGCAGGTAGGCGCGGGGAGCAGGTAGACGCAGGTAGGCGTGGGGAGCAAGTAGGCGCGGGGTGCAGGTAGGCGTAGATAGGCGCGGGGAGCAGGTTGGAGCGGGGAGCAGGTAGACGCAGATAGGCGCGGGGAGCAGGTTGGCGCGGGGTGCAGGTAGGCATGGGGTGCAGGTAGGCGTAGATAGGCGCGGGGAGCAGGTAGACGCAGGTAGGCGTGGGGAGCAGGTAGGCGCGGGGTGCAGGTAGGCGTAGATAGGCGCGGGGAGCAGGTTGGAGCGGGGAGCAGGTAGACGCAGATAGGCGCGGGGAGCAGGTTGGCGCGGGGAGCAGGTAGGCATGGGGTGCAGGTAGGCGTAGATAGGCGCGGGGAGCAGGTAGGCATGGGGTGCAGGTAGGCGTAGATAGGCGCGGGGAGCAGGTTGGAGCGGGGAGCAGGTAGACGCAGATAGGCGCGGGGAGCAGGTTGGCGCGGGGTGCAGGTAGACGCAGGTAGGCATGGGGTGCAGGTAGGCGTAGATATGCGCGGGGAGCAGGTAGGCATGGGGTGCAGGTAGGCGTAGATAGGCGCGGGGAGCAGGTTGGCGCGGGGTGCAGGTAGGCGTAGATAGGCGCGGGGAGCAGGTAGGCATGGGGTGCAGGTAGGCGTAGATAGGCGCGGGGAGCAGGTAGGCATGGGGTGCAGGTAGGCGTAGATAGGCGCGGGGAGCACGTTGGCGCGGGGTGCAGGTAGACGGGGGTGCAGGTAGACGCAGGTAGGCATGGGGTGCAGGTAGGCGTAGATAGGCGCGGGGAGCAGGTAGGCATGGGGTGCAGGTAGGCGTAGATAGGCGCGGGGAGCAGGTTGGCGCGGGGTGCAGGTAGACGGGGGGTGCAGGTAGACGCAGGTAGGCATGGGGTGCAGGTAGGCGTAGATAGGCGCGGGGAGCAGGTTGGCGCGGGGTGCAGGTAGACGGGGGGTGCAGGTAGACGCAGGTAGGCATGGGGTGCAGGTAGGCGTAGATAGGCATGGGGTGCAGGTTGGCGCGGGGTGCAGGTAGACGCAGATAGGCGCGAGGAGCAGGTTGGCGCGGGGTGCAGGTAGACGCAGATAGGCGCGAGGAGCAGGTTGGCGCGGGGTGCAGGTAGACGCAGGTAGGCATGGGGTGCAGGTTGGCGCGGGGTGCAGGTAGACGCAGATAGGCGTGAGGAGCAGGTTGGCGCGGGGTGCAGGTAGACGCAGATAGGCGTGAGGAGCAGGTTGGCGCGGGATGCAGGTAGACGCAGATAGGCGTGAGGAGCAGGTTGGCGCGGGGTGCAGGTAGACGCAGATAGGCGTGAGGAGCAGGTTGGCGCGGGGAGCAGGTAGGCGTGGGGAGCAGGTAGACGCAGATAGGCGTGAGGAGCAGGTTGGCGCGGGGAGCAGGTAGGCGTGGGGAGCAGGTTGGCGCGGGGAGCAGGTAGGGGGGGAGCAGGTAAACCCAAAAGGGGGGAGGAGCAGGGTTGGGGCGGGGTGCAGGTAGGGGTAGAATAGGCGTGAGGAGCAGGTTTTGGGGCGGGAGCAGGGAGACGCAGATGGCGTGAGGAGAGGGCCGGGGGGCAGGGAAACCCAAAAGGCGTGAGGGGCAGGTTGGGCCGGGGGGCAGGAACGCAATAGGCGTGAGGAGCAGGGTGGCGCGGGGACAGGGAGGGTGGGGGGGGCAGGGAGACGCAGATAGGGGCAGGGGCAGGTTGGGGGCGGGGGCAGGAAAACCCAGAAGGTGTAGGAGCAGGGTTTGGGGCGGGGGGAGGTGGGTGGGGACAGGTAGACGCAGATAGGCGTGAGGAGCAGGTTGGCGCGGGGGGGCAGGTAGACGCAGATAGGGGCGACAGGTAGGCTTTGGGGGGCAGGTAGACGCAGATAGGCGTGAGGAGCGGTTGGCCGGGGGCAGGTAGGCGGGGGACAGGTAGACCAGATAGGCGCGAGGAGCAGGGGTTTGGTTCGCGGGGACAGGTAGACGCCCGATAGGCGCGAGGACGGTTGGCGGGCGGGGTGCGGGTTAGAAAAGATAGGCGCGAAGCAGGGGCTGGGACGAGACGAGATAGGGGTGGGGAGAGGGTTTGGGGCGGGGGGTGCAGGAAGGGTTTTGGCGTGAGGAGCAGGTTGGCGCGGGAAGCGGTAGCGTGGGGCAGGTAGACGCAGATAGGCGTGAGGGAAGGTTTGGGCGGGGGCAGGTAGACGCGATAGGGGGCGAGGAGCGGTTTGGCGTGGGGAGCAGGGAGAAACCCGATAGGGGTGAGGAGCAGGTTTGGGGCGGGGGGCAGGTAAACGCAGATAGGCGGGGGAAGGGGTTGGGCGGAAAAAAGGAGGGGTGGGGGCAGGTTGGGGCGATAGGCGCAGGAGCAGTTGGCGGAGGGGCAGGTTGGCGCGGGGTTTTCAGGTAGGCATCCATCCCATCCATCCATCCCTCCATCCACCTCCCCCTCCAAAACCTTCCATATCCATCCATCCCACCTCATCCCCCCACATCCATCACCCCCATATCCATCCACATCCCTCCTCCCCCATCCCTCCATCCATCCCTTCCTTCCCCCTACCAAACCATCCCCATCCCTCCACTCCCTCCATCCCCCCCAAATTCCCCCAAACCATCCTATCCATCCATCCATCCCTCCATTTCCCTCCAACCATCCATCCATCCATCCCTCCATCCATTTCCCTCCCTCCATCCATCCCAACCCTTCATCCATCCACATTTTCCCTCCCCCCCCACCCTCCCTCCATTTTCCCTCCATTCCCCATAACCCCTCATCCCCTCCATCCATCATCCCTCCATCCTCCATCCCCTCCCCTTCCCTCGATACCATCCCCCCATCCCCCCATTTCCCCCCATCCCCCTCCTCCCATTCCCCCTTTCCTCCCTCCATCCATCCATCCTTCCATCCCATCCCATCCATCCACCATCCATCCCTCCATCCTCCCATCCATCCATTCCATCCTCCTCCCTCCTTTCCCCCTTTCCCTCCTTCCCCTCCATTCCCTCCACACCTCATCCATCCATCCCATCATCCATCCCTTTATCCATCCCCTTTCCCTCCAAACCTTTCCCTCCCCTCCATCCATCATCCATCCCTCCAACCCCCTTTCCCCCAACCCCCCAAAACCCTCCCCCCCATTCCCTCCTCCATCCATCCATCCATCATCCATCCCTCCTCCATCCATCCATCCAACCATCCATCCATCCAACAAACCATCCATCCATCATCCATCCCTCCATCCATCATCCATCCATCATCCATCCATCCATCCATCCCCTCTCCATCCATCCATTTCCCTCCAAAACCATCCATCCATCATCCAAACCCCTCCATCCATCCCTCCACATCCAACCATCCATCCATCCCCTAATCCATCCATCCAAACCCTCCATCCATCCATCATCCATCCCCTCCATCAACCCTCCATTTCCCTCCATCCATCCATCCATCATCCATCCTCCATCCATCCATCCATCCATCCATCCTCCATCCATCCATCCATCCATTCATCCATCCATCCATCATCCATCCATCCATCCATCCATCATCCATCCATCCATCATCCATCCATCCATCCTTCCATCCATCCATCCATCCATCCATCCATCCATCATCCATCCATCCATCCATCCATCCATCCATCATCCATCCATCCATCCATCCATCATCCATCCATCCATCATCCATCCATCCATCCATCATCCATCCTCCATCCATCCATCCATCCATCCTCCATCCATCCATCCATCCATCCATCCATCCATCATCCATCCATCCATCATCCATCCATCCATCCATCCATCATCCATCCATCCATCCATCCATCCATCATCCATCCATCATCCATCCATCCATCCATCATCCATCCATCCATCATCCATCCATCCATCCATCCTCCATCCATCCATCCATCCATCCATCCATCCATCCATCCATCCTCCATCCATCCATCCATCATCCATCATCCATCCATTCATCCATCCATCCATCCATCCATCCATCCATCCATCCATCCATCATCCATCCATCCATCCATCATCCATCCATCCATCATCCATCCATCCATCCATCCATCCATCCATCATCCATCCATCATCCATCCATCCATCCATCCATCATCCATCCATCCATCCATCCATCCATCCATCATCCATCCATCCATCCATCATCCATCCATCCATCCATCCATCCATCATCCATCCATCCATCCATCCATCCATCCATCCATCCATCATCCATCCATCCATCCATCATCCATCCATCCATCCATCCATCCATCCATCCATCATCCATCCTCCATCCATCCATCCATCCATCCATCCTCCATCCATCCATCCATTCATCCATCCATCCATCATCCATCCATCCATCCATCATTCATCCATCCATCCATCATCCATCCATCCATCCATCCATCCATCCATCCATCAGCCATTCTCATCCTCCCCTCTCTCATGACAAGGCGCACGAGTCCTATCATGAAAAAAGGTTCATAGTGCGACCTGAGTAATGTGCAGTAAGGGGGTGTCGGCAATGGCAACTGCGTTACGATTACAGTCAAAGTAATTAGTTAGATTACTCGTTACTAAAAAAGGTAACGGCATTAGTAATGCTGCGTTCACACCGGACGCAGCAAAAGCAGCAAAATCGCGTCTGCTGCTTCATTTTTGCTGCTTGTACCAGTTAGTTCTGACGCGTGGCTGAAGCAGCTTTGCTGCTCTGGCTGCACGGTGCAAAAGTGTGTCTGACGCGCGTTCGCCGGAGCTTCACTATCCTTTCTCTGCCTTGCAGCTATATTTGCTGTGATCAGTTGGAATAAAGTAGTTTTATTATGTTTTTAAGTGAGAAAATCCATCTGAAAACTTAATCAATGCAGTCAGTTCATCCAGATTACCATCCTACCTTCCAATATTATTTCTGTCAGAGCCGCTCAGACCTCCACATACCTTAGGTGCGCTGTCAGTAGGAATCCCATTCATCAGCAGCCTCTGTCCTGGGCCGTCTCCTCGCAGTTCACCATGGCGACTGGAAGGTAACCCTGTACATAATCCAAACTGCAGGCAGCAGGATAATAAAAGCCAACATATTCTGCTGGCAGGTTTCTACATTTGAAGTTAATTTAGGCGTTAATAAACTGTTTCAGAGGAGTGATCATAGCGCTCTGCATCAGCAGTGCTGTGTCTGACTCCCTGCCAGCTCCCAGATCAGCTTCTCTGATTGGTTGATGCGGCGCGTTCAGCAGCAACAGCTAATTTTTTCCATCTCCCGCAGCAGCAGCGCGTTTGCAGCGCGTCACATACTTAAACGCTCCCGACGCGCTGCTTCTGCTGCTTAGAATGCGCTGCGGGACCTTTTGATGCGCCTTGACACGCGTCAACCATTGACTTTGCATGGAAACTCGCTGCTTCTGCTGCGCCTGCTGCGTGCGATGTGAATGCAGCATAACGCTGTTACTTTCAGCACTGTTACTCCCATCATTGTTGATAGCTTCATATGCTCAGAAAATCCAGGGACACTTCACCTCCCAGGATCCACGGAGCATGTGGAAGGGCATTAAGTGCATCACTGACTACAAAACCAGTGATGCACAATGCGCTAAAGACCCCTCTCTGCCTGAAGCCCTCAACGAGTTCTACGCCCGCTTTGAGGACCATGACACTCCACCCAGTTCCAGACTCAACCCCCCACCTGGAGAGATGCCACTCAGTGTGACGCCAGCAGAAGTGAGGAGGACCCTGAAAAGGATCAACCCACGAAAAGCTGCTGGCCCGGACAACATCCCCGGACGGGTTCTGAGGGACTGTGCTGATCAGCTCTGCAAGGTCCTAGCAGACATTTATAATGTCTCCCTTTTTCAAGTGGCTGTTCCCGCCTGCCTAAAGACCGCCACTATCATCCCGGTTCCAAAGAGCTCCACAGTGATGGGTCTGAATGACTATCGGCCAATAGCCCTCACGCCAATAGTCACAAAGTGCTTTGAAAGACTGGTAATGACCCACATCAAAGCCACCATTGACATCACTGTGGACCCTCACCAGTACGCCTACAGGAAGAACCGCTCCACAGAAGATGCCATTTCTTCTGTGGTCCACACTGCTCTCACCCACCTGGAGCGGAAGGACTCCTACGTCCGTCTGCTGTTTGTGGACTTCACATCTGCTTTCAATACAATAATCCCGCAGACCCTAATAACTAAACTCTCCTCACTTGGTCTGAGCATTTCACTTTGCAACTGGGTCCTGGACTTCCTGACCAACAGGCTGCAGTCTGTGAAGATCCACAACATCTCCTCCTCCACCACAGTCCTCAGCACTGGCTCTCCACAGGGCTGTGTGCTGAGTCCCCTCCTGTTGACGCTGCTCACATATGACTGCTTTCTCCATCCTGGCTGTCATATTGTGAAGTTTGCAGACGATACAACAGTGGTTGGAAACATCACAAACGGTGAGGAGTCCAGCTACAGACAGGAGGTGGAACACCTGGAGGGCTGGTGTAGAGAAAACAACCTCTGCATCAAGGTCAAGAAGACGAAGGAGATGATTGTGGACTTCAGACGGAGCAGACACGCCCATCTCCCCCTGCTCGTCGGAGGATCTGCGGTGGAAGTTGTCTCCAGCTACAGGTACTTGGGTGTGCACCTGAGCAACAACCTCACCTGGAGCAACAACACTTCCACTCTGGTCAAGAAGGCGAATCAGCGGCTCTACTTCCTCAGGCGGCTGAAGCGTGCAGGACTGGGGAGCTCAGTCCTCATCTCCTTCTACAGATGTGTGGCGGAGAGCGTGCTGTGCTCCAGCATCAGCGTGTGGTACGGCAGCTGCTCTGCTGCAGACAGGAAAGCTCTGCAGAAAGTAGTGAAGGCTGCACAGAGGACTGTTGGAGTCAACCTCCCCACCACCACAGACATCTACACCTCCAGATGCAGGAAAAGGGCCTCCTGCATCATGAAGGACCCCACTCACCCAGCACACTCACTTTTTCTCCCGCTACCCTCAGGCAGGAGGCTGCGGAGCATCAAATGCAGGACAACCAGACTGAGAAACAGCTTCATACCAGAAGCTGTGAGACTCTCAAACTGTCCCTAACAATAACTTGGTCACTTCAACCCCTAACCCCCCCAATGACACTGTATTTGCAGTTTACACTCGGACACTTTAAAATGTTGCACTGCTAAATTTATCTTCCCACGCTGCTACATTACTCATACTTCATCCATCCTCTACAATACTATTAATATACATTTTATTCTCTACTTCTTGTTTTTATATATCTGTAAATATTTTTTTCTATTTATATAATTTGATCTTGTAGCTAGTTTTTATAATTTATGTTTTTATAATCAGATGTAACTGGGGCCGTGACTCTCAATTTCGTTCTACCTCATGTAACACGTGATGTGAATGACAATAAAGTCTCTTGAATTGAATTGAACATACGAAGCGGCTGATCAGACACTCAGATCAGTGGTCGGGTTTATTTTCTAAAACCAATCACGTAGAACATCGATGACTCTTCAGCAACATTTCTAGTTCCCACGGTTACTGATTGCAGCGGCTGGCAGTGTTTTGTGGAGGCATTTCAGCCCCGCCCCTCAAGTGGGGAAAAAATATGAGCAAACTCAAACCTGTTGCATTAATATATAACATGTTATTTTTAACTTCTTTTTGTTTATTTTGTTTTAGGTTTCCTTTTTTTTATTTCATCAAACTTGTGATCAGATGTGATAAAGTGCATCATTAGTTCCAACATATCAAACCCTCAGTGGCTTAAATCTGCATCAGAAACTTAGAACTTTATAGTTGCCTTGAACTACTATTAAAATATCGTTAGTTTTGGTTTTCAGTTAATTGTTGCTTTCTTTTTTATATGATCATCTTTTAATTATTATTTTTCATCTGTATATGTTTAGAATGTCTCTATTTTAGGTAAATGTAAATTTCTTCCTTTTTTTCCTGATGTTCAGCGTTTAGATTTGTGCTGTAAAATTACATTTGCCTAAAAACGCAATAAACTTTCCTGTTGAATGAAAATATTTTAAATAAAAACTTTCAGGGACATTATTAATGTTGTTATTATAATCTCTGGCAGGTTGAAGGTTCAAATCCCTGTAAACTGTAGAGGGTTGGGGTTAGTCCCGCCTCCAGGCGGTGTGATGTAGTCTGTTGTTACAGGTCAGCATCGCCGCTGATAAAAACACACAGAGCCCAGGTTGATGAAGGGGCGTGGCTTGTTTTCCAGATCATCCCATCAAATGATGACTAAGTAAAGCTTTCTGTTTTCCCACCAGGAGTAAAATCAACGAGCTGACCACAGAGACCAGCCGTCTCCACAAAGAGATAGAACACTACAACCAGGAGAACTCCGTCTACCTCTCCTATGAGAAAAGGTGAGAGCCTGATTGATTGACTGCTACAGAATGAGATCAGTGATGTTCACCCTCAACTGTTCGCTTTGTGCTACAGAGCTGAAGCCCTGGCTGCTGAGATCAAGGACCTTCAGGGACAGCTTGCAGACTACAACATGGTAAACATCCCAAAAAAGTTCAAAATCAATCCACTGGACTTTGAAGATGTTTTTATCTTCCCATCCAGGAAACTTTTTCAGTTGAAAATGATTAGTGTTGGGTTCCAGGCTTGGTAGAGTGGAACTAAACAAAGCTTTGTAATGCCTTAGAAAACACCCGATACTGGTCTATGCATCAGAAAGGGGAGTTGTTAGGGTTATTGTTGGCCTGGCTGACCAGGTGAGATGTTTTGGTCCCTGGTGGCGATGAGGATTGAGATGATAGCAGGAAGGAATCAACTCTTTCGCTGCAGCGTAGGTTTCTGAAAGCTGAAATCTGAGCCTGGAGGTTTGGTCTTTAGGAGGAACTAGTCTCTGTTGAAGGGTCTGTTGGTTTGAAATGTTGAAAAGTTTTTCAGAGACTCCAGGAACATATGGGATGTTTAATCTTCTCACCGTTATGTTCTTTTGGATTTCCTTCCTGATTTGAGCAACATGATAAACAAGAGGAATCAGTCTTCTGAACATCAGAGGAGCTTTTTAATTCATGTTTGGCTTATTTTGCAGCTGGTGGACAAGCTGAACACCAACACGGAGGTGGAGGAAATGATCAATGACTACAACACGGTAAACCTGAGCTGGAGATTATCTAAAACCAGCCACAAGACTCATCAGATATTCTCACAGTTTTCCCTTTGGTTTGGTCTTTTCTCAGCTCAAGGCGCAGAACGACGCCGAGGCACGAAGGATTGACAGCATCTTCACCGAGAGGAGAGCGTAAGGCTGTTGATCTGACTTCCAGATTCCAGGATTCTACTTTCTGAATTATTATTAATTATTATTATTATAAAACAAAAGTTGTAAACATGACAAACCCAGAGGACTAAAAAATCACGTTGAAACTCTTTCAAAGGTTAAAAAAGAAAGTGTTTCTGTCACTCCCATCTGCGTCAGTCTGGCTTTTTAACTTGTTCTTATTCAGTGTGAGTAGAATGAAAAATAGTTCTATCACAATATAGTGTTTAAAACATTTAAAATGGATGCACCATTAGTTGGAAAACGAGCAGAAAGCAGCAGCGGAGAACAGGCAGACGAGCTCCGAGCCAGCTCCCATGTCAGAGGATGAAGAGAGCACATCCAGTTAGTCACAGTCAGAGAAACAGGACTACACTGGAAAACAGGCCAAGCTCCAACATCTAGAAACAAAGGTGTTGATGGCAGCAGCACAGCTGATATTTCTCTCCAGGATGGAGTCACAGCCAAACAGGAACAGACCAGATGAAGCTACTATGAGAAAAAGCAGAGAGAGCAGAACGTTAGAGATTGAAAGAAGGAAATTCTAGAAACCTCTTTGATCTGGGATTTAAATGACAGGTCCTGATCAAAAACAACACCAAGATGTTTTACTTTATTATCTGAAATCAGTTTAATCCCATCCAGATGAAGTGACTGACTAATCAGCTTCTTTTTCTAAGAAGAGTTCACAGCTCAGTGTTTGCTCTCACACTGAGTGACTCGACACTCTGATGTGATCTACCTGCTCCCACTCTACATCTACAATCCACTCAGCTCCCAGAGATGGAGCAACTAGGACTCGTCAATCTGGAAGAAGAAGAAGAGGAACTCCTTGTTTACACGTGTGCAGTGCTGGAGGTTCTGGTAGCTGTGCTTCAACAGCAGGATGAACACCTCAGGAGGGCTGACTGAATTTCAAACATGTTACCCCCTGTATGCTGCAGGACGCACCATGAGGCTGGAACTCGGCCAAATACAAAAAATTATCGCACGACTGGAGAATCGGCCCAGAAAGGGCAAAATCTCAGAGTGTTGATCGGCTTTAGCAGCTGACCCTAACCCTCCTGTAGAAGTTGCAAGGTTCTTCCTTTATGACCAACCAAACCTCTGCTCTCAGCTTCCTCATTGTTGTTCCTGGGCTGTCGAGATGTTTAGTTCCTGCAGGAAGGATGAGGACCACCAGATCTCATAATGTCGTCTACAATGATCATCACCCCTCCTCCACCGTGCTTCCCAGTATCTCTGCAGTGGGGCGGCTCTCTCCCATGTGGTCTTTAAATTGAATCTATCTAAAGATGATCTAGAAATGTCATAGTTCCCTACATAGACGTTCAGATTCCATGTAGGGTGGCTGTTGTGTTTTTATTATTATTAATTTTAGTCCTGAAGCTTTGCGTCACAATTTTCTCAAATTTTTATGTTATTAGATGTTTATTTTTTATTTTTTTGTTGGTTGAAACAATCTACCCCCGGTGGTAGTAATAAAGTCATCTAAGTTAATTAAATGCAGCTCTGTAAAGTTTTTTTCTTCCTTTTTTAGAGAGGTGAACTTTTAAACATTCATTATCCCCATTAGAGTCTGAACTCTCACTGGTTTTACTGGGATTTTTACAAACTATCTTATCCTAGAAAATGAATCATAGTCTGTTTGCAGATTACATGACCTGCTTAAATACTGGAGAACAGAGACTGAACCAAACAGGGTGAGGAAAAATGGTAATTTGGTCCTCCGGCAGCCTAAACCTGTAGCAGCCATATTGATGTTAATTTGGTGCTAAGCTCTAAGCTTTAAAGCTGCAGTCTGTAACATTGAGGAGAGAGCAGACTTCGACTGAAAATTTGAAGAAAAACAGGTTTCACGCCACTCCCCCACCCTCTCTGCTTCACTCATTCCCCACCTCCAAGCTCCACCCCTCTCACAGCATCTGCGCGGCTACCGCATGCGACCAGAAGGGGGGGGGGGGCGGGATTCAGCGTGTGTGAGCTGTGATTGACACTCCATCAGACGCTCCTCTGGCTGTGATTGGTTGTTTTGTCTCGTCCCGAATTATTCTTTCCAGATTGAAATACAGGCAGTAGGCGGGACCAATTGAAGCAGTTTTTTTCACAGGTTACATACACTATATTGCCAAAAGTATTTGCTCACCCATCCAAATTATTGGAATCAGGTGTTCCAATCACTTCCATGGCCACAGGTGTATAAATTCAAGCACCTAGGCATGCAGACTGTTTTTACAAACATTTGTGAAAGAATGGGTCGCTCTCAGGAGCTCAGTGAATTCCAGCGTGGAACTGTGATAGGATGCCACCTGTGCAACAAATCCAGTCGTGAAATTTCCTCGCTCCTAAATATTCCACAGTCAACTGTCAGCTGTATTATAAGAAAATGGAAGTGTTTGGGAACGACAGCAACTCAGCCACGAAGTGGTAGGCCACGTAAACTGACGGAGCGGGGTCAGCGGATGCTGACGCGCATAGTGCGAAGAGGTCGCCAACTTTCTGCAGAGTCAATCACTACAGACCTCCAAACTTCATGTGGCCTTCAGATTAGCTCAAGAACAGTGCGCAGAGAGCTTCATGGAATGGGTTTCCATGGTCGAGCAGCTGCATCCAAGCCATACATCACCAAGTGCAATGCAAAGCGTCGGATGCGGTGGTGTAAAGCACGCCGCCACTGGACTCTAGAGCAGTGGAGACGCGTTCTCTGGAGTGACGAATCGCGCTTCTCCATCTGGCAATCTGATGGACGGGTCTGGGTTTGGCGGTTGCCAGGAGAACGGTACTTGTCTGACTGCATTGTGCCAAGTGTAAAGTTTGGTGGAGGGGGGATTATGGTGTGGGGTTGTTTTTCAGGAGCTGGGCTTGGCCCCTTAGTTCCAGTGAAAGGAACTCTGAATGCTTCAGCATACCAAGACATTTTGGACAATTCCATGCTCCCAACTTTGTGGGAACAGTTTGGAGCTGGCCCCTTCCTCTTCCAACATGACTGTGCACCAGTGCACAAAGCAAGGTCCATAAAGACATGGATGACAGAGTCTGGTGTGGATGAACTTGACTGGCCTGCACAGAGTCCTGACCTCAACCCGATAGAACACCTTTGGGATGAATTAGAGCGGAGACTGAGAGCCAGGCCTTCTCGTCCAACATCAGTGTGCGACCTCACAAATGCGCTTCTGGAAGAATGGTCAAAAATTCCCATAAACACACTCCTAAACCTTGTGGACAGCCTTCCCAGAAGAGTTGAAGCTGTTCTAGCTGCAAAGGGTGGACCGACGTCATATTGAACCCTATGGATTAGGAACGGGATGTCACTTAAGCTCATATGTGAGTCAAGGCAGGTGAGCAAATACTTTTGGCAATATAGTGTATCACATGTACTGCTGTCTGGGCATAGGGACAGTTTTAGCCAATATGACAAAAAAGTGATTTTTAAAAACTTACAGACTTCAGCTTTAAGAGTCGGCTTCCTCTGATTCTCTGTCACGGATGAGATGAAGCAAAAAGCAGAAATCATAAAAGCTGGTTCTGTGCCCTGCAGGAGAGAAGAGGTGATTGAGGCCATTGAGGAGGAGATCAGAAGGGAAAGACAGGTGGCTGACGAAGTTATCCAGGCTATGCCTTCAGCGAAGAGGGAGAAATATTTCTCCATGACGACGGCCAATGAGGAGCTGCTACAGGTAAATTTATACCAAAAAAAACACCAGAATGGATCCAGGAGAACCTTTTGCAGAGCTCCAGTTTCTTTTACAGGAGCTGGCAGTCCTGCAGGAGGAGCTGGACCTTCTAGCCACCAGGAAGGAAGACTATGAAGAGGTAAAGAGTCTGGATGCTAAGACCAAACTGTAGTTTAGATGAAGGGTCTAATCCGGCGTTTTTACTTTCTGAGAAGGATCTCTCCCACTCACGCATCAAACAAGAGATGGTTCGGCTTCATCAGACCCTCTCTGCTCTGGAGGCGAAGCGTGACGCCATGGAGGCTGAGCAGGAGAGCCTGGGCTCCCCCCAGGAGGAGAGGGAGAAGCTGCTAAAGCAGGTGACTTCTTCTCACCTTCCTCTGACGTCAGTTATCAGGTTTTCTGGGTGAAACGTAACAAACGTGGCCCAGTTTAACTGACCAAGTTCTGCAAAAACTGCAACCGAATCAAATGTGTGAAGATAAAACTTTAGACTGGTGAAAGTTATGAGTGGACATTGTTTACATTTTGATTGTCCAGGAACAGGAAGAGACATGGATGGAGGCAGCATCAGCCTTCTTCTTGGTCCCACTGATAATGGTCTCTTTCTCCTGCTATAGATCTGCCTTCATAGATTAAAGTGCTCCAACTTCTATCTGATATGATATGGAGTCATTCATAGCGTTACTCAGAGTTCAGCTGTTTAAGCTTTGGAGAAATGAATGTTTTTATTAGAGCAGGAAGCTCCGCCTTCTTTCTCCGACAGCGACGGAGAGCAGAGCTAAATGAAGCGGCTAATCTGCACAGTGACACCGACTCTTCTCTGCCAGAGATCCGACTCTTTGTTCACTGGCACCAAAAACAGATGGTTCCTATTTTTTAGAGAGACAATGGCGACCCCAGCAGGCCAAAGAGGAAAATGAAGAAATGTCCTCATTATTATCTAATATGTAAAGGTTATTTAAATGATCCCAGAGTGAAGCATAGTTTTTGTCCTCAGGTGAAGGAGGACAGCCAGGAAATAGCCAGCATGGACAGACAGTGAGTATTGCTTCCTGCTAACTCTGACTGCGTTGCTTTCAAAGCTCCCTGCGTTAATGTGTGCGTGTCCTCAGGCTCACTGACATCAGGGACAGGAGCAAACAGGTCAAAGAGGAGATCCAGAACCTGGAGCAGGACTCAGAAGCAGCTCAGGGTAATGCTGCTGCATCAGAATCTTTCTTCCTTTCATGATTTAGTTTTTTTTAATGAACCAAAGACGTCTTTTTTTGTTGTTTTTCCCCCTTAAAGTCGAGTGCCAACAGAAGTACAAGGAGCTGAAGAAGAAGGAGGAGGAGATGGACCGTAAGTCGCCCAGTCAGATGAAGGTTTGGAGCCCGGCCTCTTTTACAGTCATCTTTCTTGCTTCCAGGTTTCCTGGAGTCGTTTGAGGAGATCAGAGCTGAGGAGCTGGAGAAGCTGACCCAGAGCCAGGAGAACATCGTTTCCCTCCTGGAACATTACAGCAGGGTTAGAGGCAGCAGAGACTCATGATGAGGAGGAGGAGGGTGGTTAGGATCTGAAGTGTGTGTTCCGATCTCTCTTTAGAACATGTTGAGGCTCCGCCTTGTGGATGGAGTGACCACCAGCGAGCTGAGGAACATGCAGGAAGTTCTGGTCAGCAAAGAGACGGATGTGATCCAATCAGAGAGCACAGCCAGAGGACTGAGCACAGGTGAGTAAAAAGCATCTGGACGCTACAGCAGGGTTTAGACGGATGACTCCTCTCCTTCTCAGAGTCCAAACGGCTGCAGCAGGACCTGGAGAAGATTCAACAGCTGGAGGGGAAGATCACAGGAGAGCTCAGCACCCTGAAAGAGCAGGTCAGCACCATGGAGTCTGAGCTGCTCACCTACAGAGACCTGGACACCCTGAAGCAGACAGCCGAGGACAAGAAGAAGGTAGCAGGTCCAGACCTAAAGCCCACAGTCCTGATCCGTGGCAAACTCAACACCTCCTCTCTCCTCCTCTCCTCCTGTAGCGGCTCCTGGACGAGCGCGAGACTCTGACTCAACGCAGAGACACGTTTGGACAGCTGCTGGGGGAGATGAACCAGAGACACGAAGCTCTGAAGACCAAACTTCAGGAGAACGAGACGCACACTCAGGTTAGAGCAGGACAGGGACGGACAGGTCCAGCTAAACGCTTCAGCAGCAGCTTTTCATTCTGTGTCTGTGTCTCAGCTGACTAACCTGGAGAGGAAGTGGCAGCACCTGGAGCAGAACAACTTCCTCATGAAAGAATGTATCCTTCAGAACATCTCCATCCTCAGCACGATGACCTTTTCAAGAACCTCTGGGAATATTTAATTCATTTTTTGAATGTAATTGAAGTTATGAAAGGATGAATGTTATAGCAACTGTATCGTGTAAACTGTGAAAATATAAAACTACAACATAAAGATGCATGTTAAAGGTATAGTGGAGGATTTTCATGCATTTTTGAAAAGTCCCGCCCAAAAACAAAATGCATATGGGCAACCCTGCACCCGCTCCTAAGAGGGAACGTCCTTTTAACGTGCCCAAGAGCGTGCACAAGCCCATTTCTCCTCGTGCACGCTCTGATCTTACAAGCTCACTTTCCGAAAGAAGATGTGCAATTTTTCCACTATGTCAGACTCGCCAGCGGTTTGTCAAAATGGGGACGAACACGAAGGACAGCCTTACGGTAACACATGACCAGAATGACTGACAGTTAGGAGGACCACCGGAAAAAAACACATCCTCCACTATAGCTTTAAGAAAAGCTGCAAGCTGGCTTTGCATCACTGCAGTACTCCAGACCACTAGGGGGAAACGGTCATCAAGTCGTAGGGGACAAGTCTACAAAGAAGATATTGATGGATGAGAAAAACAGTCAGGATGGACGGAAGAACCTCTGGTTCAGTAAGAATACCTCCGTCTTGAGCAGCAGCTAAGAACGTCCAGAGGTAGCTGTTAGCAGCGGCTAGGGACGTCCACAGCTAGTTGTTAGCAGCGGCTAGGGACGTCCACAGCTAGTTGTTATCACGGCTAGGGACGTCCACAGCTAGTTGTTAGCAGCGGCTAGGGAAGTCCACAGGTAGCTGCTAGTTTCAGTTAGGGACGTCCACAACTAGTTGTTAGCAGCGGCTAGGGAGGTCCACAGCTAGTTGTTATCAGCGGCTAGGGACGTCCACAACTAGTTGTTAGCAGCGGCTAGGGACGTCCACAGCTAGTTGTTATCAGCGGCTAGGGACGTCCACAGCTAGTTGTTAGCAGCGGCTAGGGAAGTCCACAGGTAGCTGCTAGTTTCAGTTAGGGACGTCCACAACTAGTTGTTAGCAGCGGCTAGGGACGTCCACAGCTAGTTGTTATCAGCGGCTAGGGACGTCCACAGCTAGTTGTTAGCAGCGGCTAGGGAAGTCCACAGGTAGCTGCTAGTTTCAGTTAGGGACGTCCACAGCTAGTTGTTAGCAGCGGCTTGGGACGTCCACAGCTAGTTGTTATCAATGGCTAGGGACGTCCACAGCTAGTTGTTAGTAGCGGCTAGGGACGTCCACAGCTAGTTGTTAGCAGCGGCTTGGGACGTCCACAGCTAGTTGTTATCAATGGCTAGGGACGTCCACAGCTAGTTGTTAGTAGCGGCTAGGGACGTCCACAGCTAGTTGTTAGCAGCGGCTTGGGACGTCCACAGCTAGTTGTTATCAATGGCTAGGGACGTCCACAGCTAGTTGTTAGTAGCGGCTAGGGACGTCCACAGCTAGTTGTTAGCAGCGGCTAGGGACGTCCATGCGTAGCTTTTAGCAGCAGCAAGGGACTTCCACAGGTAGTTGTTAGCAGCGGCTAGGGACGTCCACAGCTAGTTGTTAGCAGCGGCTAGTGTTAGTTCTGTTAGCAGCGGCTAGGGATGTCCACAGCTAGTTGTTAGCAGCGGCTAGTGTTAGTTCTGTTAGCGGCGGCTTGGGACATCCACAGCTAGTTGTTAGCAGCGGCTAGTGTTAGTGCTGTTAGCGGCGGCTTGGGACGTCCACAGCTAGTTGTTAGCAGCGGCTAGTGTTAGTGCTGTTAGCGGCGACTTGGGACGTCCACAGCTAGTTGTTAGCAGCGGCTAGTTTTAGTGCTGTTAGCGGCGGCTTGGGACGTCCACAGCTAGTTGTTAGCAGCGGCTAGGGACGTCCACAGCTAGTTGTTAGCAGCGGCTAGTGTTAGTGCTGTTAGCGGCGGCTTGGGGCTTCCACATATAGCTTTTAGCAGTGGCAAGGGACTTCCACAGGTAGTTGTTAGCAGCGACTTGGGACATCCACAGGTAGCTATTAGCAGCTACTTGTGGACGTGTAGAAGTAGGTGTTAGTAGTGGCTATGGACATCTAGAAGTAGCTGTTAGCATCGGCTAGGGATGTCCACAGGTAGCTATTAGCAGTTACCTGTGGACATCTAGAGGTAGCTGTTAGCAGCCGCTTTAGACATCCACAGGTAGCTGTTTAGCAGTGGCTAGGGACGTCCACAGGTAGCTATTAGCAGTTACCTGTGGACATCTAAAGGTAGCTGTTAGCAGCGGCTTTAGACATCCACAGGTAGCTGTTAGCAGCAGCTAGGGAAGTCAACAGGTAGCTCTTAGCAGCTAATAGGGACGTCCACCGGTAGTTTCTAGCAGTGGCGAGGGACTTCCACAGGTAGCTTTTGCAGCGGCTTGGGACATCAAGAGGTAGCTGTTAGCAGCTAGCAGCTAGGGATGTCAACAGGTAGTTTTTAGCAGTGGCTAGGGATGTCAACAGGTAGCTATTAGCAGTTACCTGTGGACATCTAGAGGTAGCTGTTAGCAGCGGCTTTAGACATCCACAGGTAGCTGTTAGCAGCAGCTAGGGAAGTCAACAGGTAGCCGTTAGCAGCTAATAGGGACGTCCACCGGTAGTTTCTAGCAGTGGCGAGGGACTTCCACAGGTAGCTTTTTCAGCGGCTTGGGACGTCAAGAGGTAGCTGTTAGCAGCTAGCAGCTTGGGATGTCAACAGGATAGTTTTTAGCAGTGGCTAGGGATGTCAACAGGTAGTTGTTGGCATCGACTAGGGACGTCCACATGTATCTTTTATCAGCGGCTAGGAACGCCCACAGGTATTTGTTAGCAGCAGCTAGGGATGTCCATGCGTAGCTTTTAGGGGCGGCTTGGGGCGTCCAAGCCTAGCTTTTAGCAGCAGCAAGGGACTTCCACAGGTAGTTGTTAGCAGCGCCTTGCAACATCCACAGGTAGCTATTAGCAGCTACCTATGGATGTGTACAAGTAGCTCTTAGCACCGGCTACGGACATCTAGGACATCTAGCATCGGCTAGGGATGTCCACAGGTAGCTATTAGCAGTTACCTGTGGACATCCAGAGGTAGCTGTTAGCAGCTGCTAGGGACATCCACCGGTAGCTATTAGCATTTACCTGTGGATGTCTAGGGGTAGATTTTAGCAGCAGCTAGGGGCGTCCACACGTAGATTTTAGCAGCAGCTAGGGACGTCCATGTGTAGCTTTTAGCAGTGGCTGTGGATGTCCATGCATAGCTTTTAGAAGCGGATTGGGGTGTCCATGTGTAGCTTTTATCAGCTTGTAGCAGTGGCTAGGGACATCTAGAGGTAGCTTTTAGTAGCAGCTAGGGATGTCCACAGGTAGTTGTTAGCAGTGGCTAGGGACGTCCAGAAGTAGCTTTTGCTGCAGCTTGGGATGTCTAGAGGTAGCTGTTAGCAGTAGCTAGGGATCTCCATAGGTAGCTGTTAGCAGCAGCTAGGGACATCCATAGGTAGCTGTTAGCAGCAGCTAGGGGGTCTATACGTAGCTGTGAGCAGTGGCTAGGGATGTCCACAGGTAGCTATTATCAGTTACCAGCAGGAGCTTTAGTCCCTCGCTATATTTGGGTAACATTTTATTTTTTCTTCAGAAGTCTGTCGTCCTAATTTGTCCAGCATCATTCATATGTGTGCGAGTACCGCACATTTCACAGTACCACATTCTTAAGGCTGTCCAGATTCAGCAACACAGTCTGGAGCTCCCTTCCTCCCCTATTTAGAGTTCTTACTGCTGACCTGGCAAAGGTAGAAGTATAGGACCTAAAGGTTGAAGTATAGGACCTAAAGGTTGAAGTATAGGACCTAAAGGCTGAAGTATAGGACCTAAAGGTTGAAGTATAGGACCTAAAGGCTGAAGTATAGGACCTAAAGGTTGAAGTATAGGACCTAAAGGTTGAAGTATAGGACCTAAAGGTTGAAGTATAGGACCTAAAGGTAGAAGTATAGGACCTAAAGGCTGAAGTATAGGACCTAAAGGCTGAAGTATAGGACCTAAAGGTTGAAGTATAGGACCTAAAGGTTGAAGTATAGGACCTAAAGGCTGAAGTATAGGACCTAAAGGTTGAAGTATAGGACCTAAAGGTTGAAGTATAGGACCTAAAGGTAGAAGTATAGGACCTAAAGGTTGAAGTATAGGACCTAAAGGCTGAAGTATAGGACCTAAAGGTTGAAGTATAGGACCTAAAGGTTGAAGTATAGGACCTAAAGGTTGAAGTATAGGACCTAAAGGTTGAAGTATAGGACCTAAAGGTTGAAGTATAGGACCTAAAGGTTGAAGTATAGGACCTAAAGGTTGAAGTATAGGACCTAAAGGTTGAAGTATAGGACCTAAAGGTTGAAGTATAGGACCTAAAGGTTGAAGTATAGGACCTTAAGGTTGAAGTATAGGACCTAAAGGTTGAAGTATAGGACCTAAAGGTTGAAGTATGACGCTAGGAACGATGACCATCTCCCCCTAGTAGTCTAGAGTACTTATGTTAGTTTGCAGCTTTTCCTAATTTTTATTTTTTGCAACCTAAAACATTTAATTTGTTGGTATGATTTCTGTTTGCAGTTCCTTTTGGATTTCTATTCCCATGTTTGCAGGATGTATGCACCACCTCCTCCATCATAGTACTTCTGTGATAGTCTTTAACTTTACTGTCAGTCATCACATCCAAGACTCGTGAGAGCGCCTACGCCTCGGTGGCTAAGGCCGTCGCCCAGCAGGTGGCCGATTATAACCGGAGCCTCATAGAGTTGCTGCAAACCAACAAGACCTGAGAGCTGCAGTCATCTCTAAAAAAAATGTGGAAACAGTAGACTGTAGACTAAAGAGTATGAAATAGTCTCTCCTGATTGGTCCGATTCTTTAACCCATAATCAGAGCCTTACTTTAGCTTTGCAGCTCTTTTCTTCAGTTTTGTTTTGTAGCTTTTCAAAGTAATACATGTAATCTGTTTAGACCTTAATGCAAATGTAAATGGTCTCTGTGGTTCAAAGCATTAAATGATTTAAATGTTTCAACGCGTCCTTTTTTATTTTATTATATTAAAAAAAAAGATCAACAAATGGCAGCGATCAGATAACTGATCTGTACAATGAAAATAGCTGCATGAGCAATATAACTTGATCTGTCCTCTCTCTCTCCTCTCTTCTCCGCTGCAGACACACAGACAGCATGTGAGACTGCAGTTAAGTTGGCAATATATCCACCTATTGGGCTTTTCTGGATTAATAAATTGTCTGCGGATTATTTATTCTACAAAACAGAAACCTCTCTGCAACCACAGTTAGGCAGACTGAAATACCGTATTTTCCTCAAAGTGAGTCTCCTATCGCGCTGGGAGAATTACATTGGACCCTATGGGGAGCTCGCTGCTCCGCAAATGCTCTGTCTGCAAGTTGAAGAATAATCATAGAGAAATATTCAAAAGCGTCACCAAGGAGAGGTGGATTATTATCACATTCATTGGATTGGAAAATAATACTTTTCTGATGAATTTCAAAAAGCCTAAATGACAAATGGCTCCTCTATTCTATTATTAGAATAAGTATAAAATGAGCAATGAATACACTATAGATCATTGTAGTGCCTCCAAACTTGTAGGATACATAGATAACCTCATCTGGATCAGACTACAACTCTTACTTTGGGAAGATTGGCCAAACTTTATTTTTGGAGATTTTTTTTCTTTGTTATTATAATATAATAGCCAATAATTACACTATAGATCATTGTAGTGCCTCCAAACATAGATAACCTCATCTAGTTCACACTGCAACTGTTACTTTGGGAAAATGTGCTAAACTCAATTTTTTTTTTTTTTTTTTCATTGTTATTATATGAATATTAAAGCCAATAATTAATTATAACTTAGACAGATTTATTTAGTCATTTTTTTACACACAAGTGTAAACAAAAATAAATGTTGTTTAGATCAGCTCTAGACAATTTAAAGGCACACTATGCAACATTTTTCAGTTAATTAATGTGTTCCATAACGTTTTGGATGATTAAATGAGTCATTTCAGGTTGAACAAAGGTATTCTCGGCCGCCCTGGTGGTCTGTGGGGGAAATACTGCATTTGCAACTGCAGGAGCACCGACCCGCACCCACAGGCTCAGAAGTCTCACGAGAGTCAGTCTTGCTTTACGGCGAACTGCTACACGTCCCAGTTAAAAGCATGCTCGTTGCTAGCACAGTGGCGATCTTTGTGCAGTTATGCTACGTTCACGCAGCAAAAGCAGCAAAATCGCGTCTGCTGCTTCATTTTTGCTGCTTGTACCAGTTAGTTCTGACGCGCGGCTGAAGCAGCTTTGCTGCTCTGGCTGTGCGGTGCAAAAGTGTGTCTGACGCGCGTTGGGCGGAGCTTCACTATCCTTTCTCTGCCTTGCAGCTATATTTGCTGTGATCAGTGGGAATAAAGTAGTTTTAATATGTGTTTAAGTGAGAAAATACACCTGAAAACGTAATCAGTGCCGTCAGTTCATTCAGATTATTATCCTGCCTTCAATATTTTTTCTGTCGGAGCCGCTCAGACCCCCACATACCAGCGGTGCGCCGACAGTAGGGATCCCTTCATCAGCAGCCTCTGGCCTGGTCGCCTCCTCGCGGTTCACCGCGGCAGCTGGTAGGTGTTTTTCATCTAAATCTAAACTGCAGGCAGCAGGATAATAAAAGCCGACATATTCTGCCGGCAGATTTCTGCATTTTAAGTTAATTTAGGCGTCAATAAACTGTTTAAGAGGAGTGATCATCAGCGCTGTGTCTCTCTCCCTGCATCAGATGCTTAAACGCGCCTGATGCGCTGCTTCAGCTGCTCAGACGTGCTGCGCCTGCTGCTCAAAATGCGCAGCGGGACCTTTTGCTGCGCCTTGACGTTACGTTGCATGTAAACTCGCTGCTTCTGTCGCGCCAGCTGCGGTGTGAACGCAGCATTAGTCATTCGTTGCGTTCGCCTGTCTGCTGAGCTCAAAACAACCGCGCCTGGCTTGACGGAGAAACCAGGAGAACAGCTGTGCATATTTACGACAGTGCACTTTTACTTTCGCCCTCTGGGGGGAGCCTCGCTGGAAAATCAACACCGGTTGCATAGTGTACCTTTAATATTTTAAAGTGCAGCCTTGAAAACAGTAATAAATACATTAAAAAAACTAGTAATATAAACATATGACTGTATATTTACAGTTCTAACATTCTTTTCTTTCTTACTTTGGGAAGATAGGCCAAACTGTATTTTTGGAGATTTATTCATTGTTATTATAAGCATATAATAGCCAATAATTACACTATAGATCATTGTAGTGCCTCCAAACTTGTAGCACACATAGATAACCTCATCTAGATCATACTACAACTCTTACTTTGGGAAAATGTGCTAAACTCTATTTTTTTTTTAGATTTTTTCATTGTTATTTTAAGCAGGCCAGGTGTTTCATCTCTGCAACAGGAACCACAGCACTGAGCGTTGTGTTCACTGCACAAAGTATACCTGTCACACATGCAGGAAGGACTCACCTTGGGTTTGTAAAAACTGCTAAATGGGACAATTGTAGCTTCATATGTAGAGCTTTTCCTTGGGTCAAATAAATAAATGTTGGATGACATTAACAGACAAAATACAATTATTCTCTAAGTTTTTCTTTCTTTCACATAGTGAGCTTTGCAACATAAATGAGTCTGTTGGTGAATGGACAATATAAATAGGCTCTGCCTTGCCTTGTTGGAAAAGCTGGTTATGACCTGTTCTCAGCTCAGGAACTAGGACCCGTATGATATCTGGTTGTTCAATAGCTTTGCCTTAATAAAAGATTTAGATCTGACTTATCAAATTATTCCTGCAAAAAGGTCTGATGTTGCAGGGGCAGGTAATGAAAAGTGTTTGGAGCATGCTCTGGTTCTGATGCCAGTTTGTTTCAGCCTTTATCCAGTCTCATGTAGAAGGGCTGGTCACATCACAGGTTATTAGCATTACAGCAAGGACACTTAGCAAGGTAGAGTGAATACACAAAGTTGAAGAGGGGAGGGGGGCTTGCAGGAAAACTGGAATTCTCCGGGACATCTAGTGTTAAAGGTAAACTTCTCACATTCTTTAGCTCTTCTTACCAAAGCGACTCCACTCTTCAGAAGGGTCTTGTAGCGTCTGTCCCACTGAGACAAGTTTCTTCCAGTTTATGCAACATATATCCTGAATGCACCCATCCCAATTAAACCCCACCTTCTCTTGAAAACGTTTCAGTGGGGTACAGACTGCTCAACCAACGACTTATCAAGGATACAATGGGAACAAATCTCCTATGATGATTTGCACCTTTTAACAATTACAGAGAGGTCCATCAGGTTTAAACATGATTACTTGTTGTGGGTTGTGGTTAAAACCAGGAGATTAATACTGCTGGACAATTCTAACGGGAACACAAAGAATAGTTTCAAGATATGCATTTTAGAATATTTACAACAGACTGAACTGTGATAGTGTAGATGTGTTTTTCATTTTCAACAGTATGAGAATCACAACTTCAGGAACCCATGGTTAAAAAAATCTTTCCTTGCTGCATACTATAGGTTTGGTTTTCCTGTGGTTGAAAAACTCACCACCTAGACCAGGGCCGTGCAGAGACCACTAAAGGGGCAGGTGCTCAAAAAAAAAAGAAGGGCACATCTTATCGCATTTTAGGACAGAATATTAACAAAGTCACATAGCTTTCAGAGTTTAATGAACAATGATAAATTACAAAATTGTGAGACATACAATCAAAGCTAAGGGAAATCTCTACATAGAACATAGAACTATGCATATGTAAAATATTTTATTAGTAATTTCTTTCTGCAGGTCTATTTTGTTATAGGAAAGTATTACAATATTCAAACCTGCAATTTAGCCAAAGATGTAAATCAGAGCTGGACCACCAGACATATTTTGTCTTTACAGAATTAAACTGTTAAAAACGCATACAAGGGCACAATGCAACCTTTTAGTGTACTGTAATCTATAAAAAAGAATGTCTGCCTGGTTTGCTGTACTGACAGTGGAGATGGAGACGGTCCATTCAGAAAAGCAGAGCTGCTGCATCAAACTTTAACGTGGAACTGCAGAAAAAAAAGAACAAAAGCAAACATTTTATTAATGCATGTCACCATGAGAAAAGCCTACTCTGTTTGTGTCTTAGTGTATTTTGTAAGTACCTAAATACATTTTCTTCAATCTTTCCTCTTCGTTTTTTCTTGTCAGTTTCTCTTTTCTTTTTTTCCTCATTGTCTCATCTTTTCTGTGTTGAGTGAAGGTCAATGTCTTATTGATTTCAGTCTCTTGCCTTTCTTTTCCCCCAAACTAAATCCAAGATTATGATCCAAAAACTTATTTTCTGTCATGGTGATTTAACTGTTTGAAAACAAATTTCCAACTTTTAGGCATTTTTGCTATTTTTGTTCTCTTTTGTTCACAGCAGCAGTTTTCTGTTAGCCATGTCTTTAAAAATGTTAATAACCTCACTGTGAATGATTGGCACATCCTTCTCGATTGCCAACAAAAGAAGGTCTGACAACCGATCCTCCTTGCATAAGCTGCGCAGTTTTGTTTTCACCAGCTTCATACATTATATCTATCATATATCTATCATGGTAGTTCTGGATGAGTTCTCCTTCAAGATACCTTTACCTAACGCTAGAATAAATGCAATGTACATCATGCAGGCCACGAAATTAGAAAATCAGACATATATCCATTATGGAGATGATAGGTTTTTGACGGGCGATGTGCCCCTATTGCATAAGTAATACTAAAGAATGTCCTACT